TTTATTGGTGGTTAGACACATTTTTCAAGAGGCCCTGGGATCAGGATCCTGATTTAGGGCCAGCAAGGCCTTGACATAGGGTACCTCAGTCCATTTGCCCTGTTTCCTGCAAAAGAGATTGGATAGATCGTATTCAAGTTTAATGTCCGTTAATGGGCCATTTTCCCTCAATCCCTGAGGAGTGCTGAGGCCATGCAATGTTACAGAAGATCATTTTTTTTTCTTTCTTAGATCTTGCAATCTGAATTGATTCCAGTGGGTTAAAAGGCATCCCAAGGAAGAATCCTTGGGAACTGAAGATATCCCATGCTCTTAGGAAAGGAGAGAATGTTTATTACCAAAAATCCCCCGTGCCTCCTAGGTGGCATCTATGCAGGATATGTCAGAGGTTCCTAGTGTCAAAGTGACCAGAGGCGGCCTTCTAAGAAGCTGCAATGAACGCTGCCTTACCTTGGAGGGATGCTAATGTCCCTCAGCTTCCCCATTGCATTCTAGATGACTAATGGGAGCCAGTGATTGGACCAAAATGCCATGGAGAACCTGTCATTCTTAACCCGTGGAAAACACCAGAAAAGTTTTACAAGGGGAAATTATATACTATTGTAACTTAAGTAGTCAGTAGGGGACATTGATGAAGAATAGTAAAGATAGAAATCCATCCTAGTCTAAGTGACATTCTAACACATGTAAGTCTTTTATAGCTTACTTCACTAGATGGTCCCTGGTTGGGTTTTAATTCAGTTTGGTACTGGTTTCTGCCAGTTCCGAGTGGAGGTCTCATGGTCAGAAGTGGCTCGGTCAGGGATTTGGAGGGGATTGCATTAGATGAATGAGGAAGAAACCTTACATGAGATTTTTAAGATCAGCAGCCATCCTAGTGACTTAGGTGGTGGTCCTGCACCCAAAAAAAGACAATTGTGTATAAGAATAGGAATGATGAGAGGGCATTGAGTTTCTGGGCCTTATAACCATAAGCTAGCCAACGTACTAGCTTCCAGTCAAAAGGCAGGCTCTCTCATCCCCATAGAGTAGCCATGGGCTAGAGGACTGCAGCCTGAGCTGTTGACATGAAATTATTCCAATAAGCCCATACTCCTTGATGAGCCTCTAAAATGAAAGTAAAAACAGAAGAAAGAGTAACTCACCAAGTTTGCTCTGACATTCAAAGTCCAGATGAAGGAGGATGCAGAATTCCTGTATGGGCCACCAAAATATGATGCAGGATCATTGAGCCCAATGGTCAAGAAAGAATTCTAGAATTCTTGAGATGTTTTGCAGTACAAAAAGGTGTTTTTATTCTAGCATGGGGACAGGACCTGAGGGCAGAAAGAGCTACATTGTGATTGTGAGGAGAGACTGATTATATAGGGTTTTTTTAGCATATGGTAGTGAAAGTGATGTTAGGGCTCCAGGAAATAGTCTATAGGTTCCTGGATGTCTATTATTAAGATCATGTTTTTCTTGTATATCATTAAGACAGTTACAAAGTCTAGTGGAGTTTCATGTCTTACAAGACTGTGATCTTTATCAATTGATCATTTGTTTTTCCCCTGCCTTTGTTCTTAGGCAGTTACTAGTACCTGAGGAATGTTTATATATATATATATATATATCCCATCTTAAGGGGAGGGGGCTTTGGTGGGGTGTCAGCTCATGTTTTGTGCTCAGCTTGCTTTTTGTTCTCTCATCAACTTGGTGGAGGGGCTGAGGGAAAAGGAGGGATCTAGGGTCCTGTGAGGCTTCTGTCTTGACTGAGTAGATGGTAACTTGAATCAAAAAAGATGATGCTAAAGACATTTACAGGTTTGGAGAAATCAGAGATGTCCTATAAATCACCAGATAAATGGGTCTGGAGTGCAGGAAAACAAACTAAATTGGAGATCTATATCTGGATATCATTAGCATTTTGGAAATTGCTGAAGTCTTGGTTGCGGATGAGCTCAAGTAGCCTGAGTGCCAGAGTAAGAAGAGAAGTGGTCCAAATTAGGAATCCTGGAAGTGCCAAGATTGGAGGGGCAGGAAAAGAACAGAGCTTGGGAGGGAAACTGGAAAGGCAACTGAAAAAGTGCATGCTTTGTGAGGAATACAGTTTGGATTAAAAGAGAGAGAGTGGGCAATGATCAGTGGTGACGTTATGCTAAACACAAGGATGCAGAGGAATGGAGGACTGACTTAGTTCAGCCTTACCCATGGGAGAGGACAAGAAATCCTGTGAAGTGACTTCAGGTCACCATAAAGACTTCCTAGCACAACGAGCTAGATTAGAAGAGTTTCCCAAGGAGGTAGCAGGTCCCCATGCTAAATGCATTGAGCACTAGTTGATGACCACTTGGTAGGAATGTTGTAAAAGGATTCAAGCATCAGGGGACTAATTGTACCAGCTGGGTCTTTAAAGTCTTTGCACATCCTGAGACACTATGATGTTGTGTCTTAAAGATGGGAGGTTGCCTACTCCTCTCGCCATCTTCACAACAAAGGAGCTATTCCTGAATTTTCCATTCCCTCGATCATCTGTAAGAGAGCTCTTTCTTACAGAATTAGCTACACTCCCTGGGACATATTTATACTCTCAACCTGGACATCTTTCCAGAACTTTTTAATCTGCTTTACTTTTAGGCAGAACTTCCTTTTCATAAGTTGTGTTCCAAACTAAGTTCTTTTGGATTTCCAAAAGGATCACTCACAGTTCCAGCATTCTAGCAATATAACCCATATTAAATATAATTAATATCTTTCCCCGTATCGTAAGTGGAACTCACAAAAGCTATCCGCCTTCATATTTCCAGACTAGGAATTCCGATCTTTCTGCCCTGATGTGAATACTTTTCCTACCTTCTATCTGAAAAATTTCCAGGCCTTTTTTGTGGCCCTTGAAGGGTGGCAACCTGTGTGTATATCACTCCAGGTGTGGATGCCCCACTGTTTCATATGTGATCGACACATTTTACTTTCCATATAATCAGCAGCACAAAAAACTATTTCTCAGGGAATGATTTATTGTAATTCTAAGTTCACTTCGAGTCACATAGACAACTGAGAAATATTATATAGTTGTACTTTGAACAAATATTCAGCCCTATAATACACTTACAGGAAAATTGTGAGTTTATCATTGATGGCTTTGTCTGACAATAGCCCAGGATTGTTCATCCTGTCAACTCTAAGACATGTAAAACCTTTGTAAAAACTTGGCTCCAGCAATGACCTTTTTCTTCACTTAAAAAAAGGTTAGGTTGGGGCGCTTGGGTGGCTCAGTGGGTTAAGCCTCTGCCTTCAGCTCAGGTTATGATCTCAGGGTCCTGGGATCGAGCCCCACATTGGGCTCTCTGCTCAGCGGGGAGCCTGCTTCGCTCCCCCCCCACCCCGCCTGCTTCTCTGCCTACCTGTGATCTCTCTCTGTCAAATAAATAAATAAAATCTTAAAAAAAAAAAAGGTTAGGTTGCTGGGTATACTCTATAGTTTCTTTCATTTCTGCTTTCATCATTTAGGATTTATAATTTCAATATTCATTCTTTTTATCGTCACATTCTTAAATTACATTTTTATATAGTGATTCATATTATAGTCTAGCTTCTGCTTCTACACTGAGAAGCCATGGCAGACACTATCAAATAGGGGCATTCTTTTAGAAGAGCCTCACAGTACAATGATTATACTATGAGGTTATATCATGGCCCCTGTGTCTACTGCTGGACTCTTGGAGACCCATAACACAGCTCTCTGGCCCCCAACTTAGGTCATAATGGCATTCTGATGTCTCAAAAGAATTCTTTGTCTTCTACCTGTCCCCTCTGTCCTTTGGTTTAGTTCTGGTTAGGTCATAGGTGTATGTTCTCCTATTGTACCCGCTTGGAGTGGTAAGTCCTGTACATTTCCCTCCTTATTGATATGCTGGTTATAGCCACTACAAGGCCCTGAATCTTAAGGGCTCAGAGGGTTATTTTTCAAATTCTTTACCCTACTTTATGGAACTCTTCTCATTTGGTGCTATATTTTAAGTGGAACTGGAAACTTCTTTTAATGTTTAGATAGTTTTTCCTGTACAATGTGATTATTTCTGAAAGATTGATGAGCTGTTGACTATTGGACTGTGCATCCCTTAAGAGTTGGAATTCACCTCTGTACACCTTAGCATCTAGCCCAGCATCTGCTACTTACTAGGCACCAAATAAATATCTGGATGAAAATTGAGGGGGAGTTAAAGTATACACTGAGAACATAAGGACCAGGTCTTCTAGAGTTGTTTTCATTTGTCTAAGCTGAAGTACAGACTTTTTTTTTTTTTTTTAAGGATTTTATTTATTTATTTGAGAGAGAGAGATCACAAGTAGGCAGAGAGGCAGGCAGAGAGAGAGGAAGGGAAGCAGGCTCCCTGCTGAGCAGAGAGCCCGATGTGGGACTCGATCCCACGACCCTGAGATCATGACCTGAGCCGAAGGCAGCGGCTTAACCCACTGAGCCACCCAGGCGCCCCTGAAGTACAGACTTTAAAAAGCTAAAGGTAGGGGTGCCTGGGTGGCTCAGTAGGTTAAAGCCTCTGCCTTCAGCTCAAGTCATGATCCCAGGGTCCTGGGATTGAGCCCTGCGTCAGGCTTTCTGCTCAGCAGAGTGCCTGCTCCCCTGCCTCTCTGCCTGCTTGTGATCTCTGTCTGTCAAATAAACAAAAATCCTTAAAAAACAACAACAAAAAAAGCTAAAGGTAGTAGAAGAGTTGGTGTTTTTCATAGCTGGCCATCAGAATTGCCCAGGGGGAGGCAGTGGAGCTTAACAAAAGTAGAGATTCCTGTGTTGATCCTCTCATCAGAATATCCAGAGGAAGACTAGGAATCTGTATTTTCATAAAAGGACCAGTTATAATGCAACTAGCTTGCATTGAACCAGGCAACCTCTAATTCCTTCGTAGCAGTAACATTCCTTGGTTCAAATATTAACTAGCTGATATGGAACTTTTTTTTGTACTAACCCTATTCTGTTTTCCCTTTTCGTCATCTTCATTCAGGGTCTGCTAAGCCAGTCGGTGATTTCTTCAACAGAGAAGCTCCCCTCCAGAGGCTCTAAACATTTGAGGCTCACACCTGTTCCCTTAGTGGATGAGATGACCTCATCGGCTCTGGTCAATATAAATCCCTTTACCCCAGAATCCTATAGAAAACAGTTCCTTCAATCCAATGGCAAGAGGAAAACCCGAGGAGACCTGTAAGTGTACTGTTGCATCTAACTTTTGAGAACTGATCTTAGTGTGGTCAAGTAGAAGGGAGAGTGGAAAGTAAGATTAGGAAAAAGAACTCTATTTGAATGCAACTGATACCCTGTTCTCACATTGCTCCTCCCCACATGTTAACGTTGGTCTGCTTTGTCATGGAGATTCTAGCATGACTCCATTCTTAAATGTACTGTATGTTGTCTTCTCTCTAAAAGAATAGGGCAGAGTAAGCAATAGACATCTGACTTCCATTAGCAAGTTGAACGAGCTACGGAATTGCATTCAAGTAGTCTCCCCTAAGTAACAGAAGGCTAGTCATTGGGGCAGGTATAGCTCACACTTCAGGGAGTATACTGCCATTTCCAGTGTAACTGTGTGTGACTGAGAGCTATAATGCAAGTATTTGAACCTCTCTGCAGGTGACAGGAAATTGGCTGAAGAGAAAAAGATAGTGTTGCTTTTGGAGGTACTAAGAATAGAAAGCCAAACTGTAAAACTCCACAAGGTCTCAATGGTAGAAATTGTCCAAATGAGAACTGTACATATTACTTAGGGACATTTCTTTACTATGTCTCTTCAATGCTTTTTTTACACAAAGGAAAATAAATAGCGAAATAAATGCACAGCTAACAATCTGAGGTATGCAGAGCATTTAATGTTTTAGTTTGAGTTGTTTCATTTGGAATCAATGACTCCGTATTAAGCAGCTTTTGTGGCCAGAATAGGTTTTCTCAATACTATCTCCTGGATCTTAAGTTAACAGAACTTCAGTCCAAGTATACAGGTCCACTCTTTTTTAAACCAAGAATTCTATTCATTTTAGCTCTTCATGAATCTTTGTAAACCATCAGAATTAATTGATTCGCCTCTCATGGAAGCTAGCCAGAAGAGACCATTAATTTGCATTTCCTGCAATGAAAGTGATGACACTTTAGTAACAGCTCTTCGTGCTTCTGAGTGGGCAATTTCCCCCCCTAACTTATGGTGCTGTTGTTTTTTTTGTGGGGTTGTTATTTTAGAAAGTATTGGAATGTCATATTAAACAAGTCACAAATGTCCAGCATCAGTTTGTCTCCATGAGTGTAACGTCTTCCTCTATTTGCACTTTCTATCCTATGCTTCTCCAGAAGAAGAATCTATAGCTGGCTGTTCTAGAGCTTGAAATCTGGCTTACACATCCAGAATGCTACTGCTCATGCCAAAGAGGATGTTTGTTGGAGCTTTTTCGAAAGTAACTGAAAATATCTTAGCCAGTGTTAGAGCGTATTCTGCTGTACTGATGGTCTTCCTCTGAACCTAGGGCAAAGCGGGGAGATGAGTTTTGAAGGGGAACGTGGCGATGGGACAGGAAAGAGCACTCAGTTTCCTGTGTCCTGTGTGATCTCCACTCCATGGTTCAGCGTTGCTCTGCTTGCCAAGAACCCCACTCCGGCTCCTTAGCTAATTCCTACTCATTCTGGAAACTTAACTTGCCTATCCTCTTTCCCGAAAGACTTTTACTCTTGAAATCATGATTTGGGTGCTGCCTATGGTGTCCCTTGATATCTTGTTCTTATTCTTTTTTATAAAGATTTTTTTAAAGATTTTTTTAAAGATTTTATTTATTCATCTGACAGAGAGAGATCACAAGCAGGCAGAGAGGCAGGCAGAGAGGGAAGCACAGCCCCGCTGAGCAGAGAGCCCAATGCGGGGCTCCATCCCAGAACCCTGGCATCATGACCCGAGCTGAAGGCAGAGGCTTTAACCCACTGAGCCACCCAGGCGCCCCCTTATTCTTGCTTCTTACATTGAAACTTTCTATGTATCCTTGTCCCCAAATACAGGCTGATGTGGGGAAGGAATTGTCTTATTTACTCTTACAACCTCAGAACCTAGTAGAGTATGAAGCTCAATAGCGTCAGTCACACATTGATATCACTTCTTTTTTTTTCCCCCCTAAGTGAGGAAGCTGGTCCAGGGGAAGGCAATGTAGAACAAGGGCTACCTGCCAAGGTGAGCACAGTTCTTTGTTCCAGCTGCCATAACTTAGTCACCTCATCCTGTTGCCAATCTCTCTCTCTCCTCTTCTTCTCTCTCTCCTTACCACCCCTGCCTCACTTTGTAGATTTGCAAATGTGCTTTGCAGCTAAATTGATCTGGACTCTGGGCAGAGTCTGTATTCTTAGCTAGTTATTACTTTACCCAACAGAGCCTGATCAATATATCACCGAATCATTACCTTGCAGTGTTTTTAAATTAATGGCTATTGCTTCTATCTTGGATTTAAGGGAAAATTCTCTATTCATGGGGTTAGAGAAGTGAAGGGAAAACTCAAGATATTTAAGGTCCAAAAATGGAAGAGCAGAAGAGAGAAAAATGTCATAAAGCCATAAGTTTAAATGTAAAATTTTTGCTCTTAAATATATCAGTTATCTATTGATTTTTATATAATGCTCACAGTCTTTGATGTAGCATCCCTCATTTGATAACCTAGCCTAAGAAAATAATGCTGTAAATATTATCACCAGAGATGTTTATTGCAGCCTTAGCTGTAATGGCCAAGAAGAAAAAAAAAAAAAAAGGAATACTAAATGTCCAATAACAAAAGAATGGCCAAAAAAATTGGAATTTACAGCAGAATATTAAATTGCCATTAAAAGCTTATAATACCATGAAAACATGTTTATGCTCAATATTCAGTTTACGAAAGTGGAGGGGAAGGGCTTAAGGGTGGGGAATAATGTAGATGGTAAGCTGGCTTATTCACTGTCTGAGATGAGGATGGGAAGTTAGTGGCTGAGCAACTGGTAAAAGACCTTTAGGTTTCTGAGCAGAAGTTTGGGTTCCTTGGGGGAGACAATTAGGTGTGTCTTATTCTATGGTAACATTTTGCAAAAATAATTTTCATTATTAGAGATGAAGAGAGGGCTTGTAGCTATGACAGCCCCAGACATGGGAGAAACAGAACTTGAGAGTGTCTAAGGGCAAAGAAAACTCTAGATCTTGCTAATGAAGACTGGTTGGTATTAGTTGTTGAAATGAGGAGCTAGTAAGAGTCAGGATTCTTTAAAATCCAGTTACATGAAAAAATTCTTGCTAACAGGGACATTGGGAAAGAATGACTTCATGGAGATAAAGTGGTTTGGATTGAGATTCATATAAATTCATGGAGATTTTTATCATCTTAGCTATGATTTTTCTGAGAATTTACTGTGTGCTTGGCATTGAGCTAAGTTACACACACACAAACACACACAAACACCTTTTCTCATGGAAATTTAAAAGTCCCCCAAGGAGTAGTTGCTAGGACGCTCACTTTACTTTAGAAGAGAAAACTAATAAAGGGGTTCAGTGATTTTTTTTTTTTTAATTATTTTTTTGCCTAGGGCTACCTACTAGCTGGAAAAAGAGAGATATTGCTAGTTAGCCAGTAGGTGGAAGGATTGCTGTACCTGAACACATAAGCTGAAATAATCAATTTGACAATTTTGTTCTCTGTACTAAAATTTTTGAGGAAGCAAATTGAACAATAAGTTCATTTAATTTGAGATGGAAACATCAGCAGCCAGAGTGTGAGGTAGGTAGACAAGAGTCAAAGGGAGTGTCTTTTTTTTTTTTCTCCTTAACATGTTCTACTTGGATCCTGGCCATTCCTTCAACTGAGGACAGTAGCTGTTGCTGTGAGCAGGTGTTTTCTCCCTAAAAACATATTGAGAATAAGCATATCCCAGAAAGAATAAATAACCTAGAAAAAGACTTAATATATGAAAAAATGCCAGTACAGAGTTGTATAGATGGTTATGAAGAGTACAAAAGGTAGTCAGCAACCGGGGAGGCTCTTGCTACCATGAATTACTGACATAGAATCCAACAGATTTGCCTCAAAAGTCTTTTTGAAAACTTTGAGAAATTTTGGAATATGCCTTAAATTTATTGCTCACAATATGTTAGAATTATTTTAACATTTTAATAAAATATTTCAGAGGTGTGTTCTACGAGAAACCAACATGGCTTCCCGCTATGAAAAAGAATTCTTGGAGGTAGAAAAAATTGGAGTTGGGGAATTTGGTACAGTCTACAAGTGTATTAAGAGGCTGGATGGATGTGTTTATGCAATAAAACGTTCCACAAAACCTTTTGCAGGATTATCAAATGAGTAAGTGCCTTTGAAATGTACTAGAAGTACAAACTTGGATTTGGAAGGTTGTTTCTCATCAAAACATTTTAAATAATAGTACTGATGTCATTAAAAACATACCCATTGCTATCCCTTCCATTGTATGTAGTCTTACATTCATAATCTTTCTGAGTTTTCCAAATTTTAAGGTAAGTTATTTCCTTAAACTAAACCATAATTATTTGGATACAATTCTGTTACAGTGTTTTTGTTTGTTTGTTTTCTTGCATGGTTCTTGAGGCTATTTCTACTGGTTTTCCTGCTTTTGCTTTAATGAATAGATATATGGAATGATCTGCCTGTTAGTTCATTAAAAATATTGCCAAGCAGGAAGTTACTGTTAACTCACTGGTTATCTCCACTTTGTATTAATAATGAATTCAATAATGAGTTCAATGTTTCAAAGACTACAAGTGAGGAAAAAGCAACAAAATTTAACTTTCATTCCCAGAGCTAATTGTTCAGAAGTCTTCCTTTTACAAAGAAAACAATTATTTTTAGACTCAGCCAAAGCTTTTCGTTAACTGTAGGAATGTAATAGTTTGCTGAATCCGAAGTTATGGACCTCAGAATTCTTCATTTTTATACCAAAATTCACTGAGTATTATATTTCACTTTTTTTATGTGTTGGATTTCCTGTTCCATAAATCTCTCCCCAAGACTGCCCCTATGACCATGTCATATTGGCTAAGTGTAATACTGACTCTAATGACTGTCCAGCCTTCACAGAGAAGATAGAGGTTCCATTACAAAATCCAACTATCAAGTCCATAGTGGCCTTATTAAGCCCATCAAAGTTTTTTTTTTTAAGATTTTATTTATTTATTTGACAGAGATAGATCACAAGTAGAGAGGCAGGCAGAGAGAGGGAGCAAAGCAGGCTCCCTGCTGAGCAGAGAGCCCGATGTGGGACTCGATCCCAGGACCCTGAGATCATGACCTGAGCCAAAGGCAGCGGCTTAAACCGCTGAGCCACCCAGGCGCCCCCAAAGTTTTTTTTTTTAATTGTGATACAGTGAAATTAAAACTCAAAGCATGTCTGCCACTGAGATACTAACAACCTAATACTCCTCTTTACATATGCCACATTCAATAAAAAATAACATGGATTTTGGTACCAGGATGATCAGTGTTCTTGTCTTAGGTCTACTATCACTGGCTTGACATTGGGCCAGTTACAGCTTTTCTAAAGCCTTCATCCTTGCCACTATATCTTACTGAGTAGTTATGAAAATTAAATGAACTAAAATACTAAGTAAGCAGTGAGTACTCAGTAAATGTTCTGCCACTGTTAATAATGCCTCATATATTGTCTTTTATTTTTTATCAATATTTTTATTATGTTCAATTAGCCAACATATAGTACATCATTAGTTTTTGATGAGTGTTCAACAATTCATTAGTTGCTTATAACACCCAGTGCTCATCACAACATATGTCCTCCTTAATACCTATCACCTGGTTACCCCATCCCCTCTCCTAAGCTTCTGTAACTCTCAGTTTGTTCCCCAGAGTCCAGAATCTTGTCTTTAAAAAAAAAAAAAAAATCTGTATGTATATTATCTTGACTCATTTTTCTTGATGCTTGTCTGTCTTCTAGGAATTTGGCTTTGCATGAAGTTTATGCTCATGCAGTCCTTGGGCACCACCCCCATGTGGTACGTTACTACTCTGCATGGGCAGAAGATGACCACATGATCATTCAGAATGAATACTGCAATGGTAAGTATGCAGATAGTAACTATGGAGAAGGGGATGAACATCTGTATCCAGGGAAAAAATCTTTGCCTCCTCCTTATAGTTTATGCTAGGCATAGCTGAGTCATACCTAAAAAGTTTGTACTATAGTTTTGCTTGGAAGCAGAGCGCTGGGGACACAAGTTGTGTTGAAAAGGAATTTCCATTTTATGCTATGTCGTATATCTTTCAGAGCTGATGTGTGGCTGACACATAGAAGCTATAAACCCCTTCACATTTTACTCAATATATAGAAAAATTTTGCTCTAGTGGTTTGAATGGTAAATCTTCCTCTTATATTTGCTAGGTATTCTAAAAGATGCAAACCACAGTCCCTATCATTTTCAAGGAGGGAGTGGTAAACTCACACAGCCAACTTTTGATTAATTTTCAAGTGGATTCCTAAATTGAGGCATAGTTCATGTATCTTGTTGCTTCTTACCTTTGAGGTTTGGTTTAGTTTAGTTTTTTTTTTTTTTTTTTTAAGATTTTATTTATTTATCTGAGACCGTGAGAGAGGGAACACAAACACAGGGAGTGTAAGAGGGAGAAGCAGGCTCTCTGCTAAGCAAGGTCCCATCCTGGGACCCTGGGATCATGACCTGAGCCAAAGGCAGACGCTTAATGACTGAGTCACCCAGGCACCCCAAGCTTCAGTGTTCTCACCAGAGTATGCGCATGGGGTGGGTGCTGGGAATGAAATGCAAGGACTTCAGGCATATTCCTTCAGGACTATACATACACAAACTGGCAGAACTTTTTCTGGGCTACTTAAATTAAAAAAAAAAAATAGTCTTTTGTTTTAACCTATTTTGAATTTGTGATTAAGGTGTTGACATAACAGTACAGTTACATGTAATTATTCGCAGAGATATTTCTCATCAAAATATTCCCTGGTAAAATAGGAAAGTGCTACCAAATTAAATAGAAGCTTGCTGGCATTTTAGGAGTAGCTATCCATATTCTGGTCACAATTAAGATCAGATAATAGCATCCCTCCCAAACTTCCTCCCCCTAAAAAAAAAAAACATGCACACCCACCCTCAGGTTTCTCTGATAGTACAGTTTTGGAGTAATTTTAGTTACCATCAGGTAGCTCTGAGAATGTATGTGCGGCTTCACTTTTGAGGAGAGCGGTCAGTGTTAAAGCTTCATCATTATATATACAAGTAAGTTAAGTAGATAATATTATGAAATGCTAGAAACATAGAAAATATCACACATATACTGCAAAATAATGACTTGGTGTTTCGTTAGGGTCTGATTTCCTTGCAGTATTAGCTGTGAACTTTGGATTTTTTTCCTCTAGCAAGTTCACCTAAATCCCTTTTTCTCTAATAGTCTCTTTAAGATTAAAAAATGGGCCCTTTCCTTGTGATAGAGAAGTTGATACTTTTCTTAATCTTCTCTTCCTAATTCCTTCTTATCACAACCTGAGATTCCCTATTCTTCTCCCTCCCCACCCCAACATTGGTTTTATTTTCATGATTTTTACTACTAACAAAGATAGTATCGGGGAACAAACTTAGCCAAGAAAGTCAAACAAAACAATTAATTTAATCTGATTTGGGGCATTGTAAAGATTTCAAATTTTAAAAAGAATAAGGAGGAGTGATTATTCCTATTACAAATCCTCTTCTAATTCTTTTCAACATTTGAATCCCTTCTACAGGTGTGACATTGTATTAAGTTCTAGGGTGAGATACACCATAGATTGAGCCAAGAAGTCCTTCCAGGAACTTCCCTCCACTTGCTCTGTTACAATGAATACACAAGAGATGATTTGCTTTAAAGCCAGGTAGTACAACTATGGATAAAAAGCATTCAGAGAAGATGCATATGAGTAAGGGGCAGCACAGTGTGGCAGAATGGGCCTGGGCTGAGGCACACCTAGGCAGACCTGGGTGTGGCACACTAGTTGTATGATATCTGGGATGTCAGTCCCACTGAGTAAAGAGATTGTAATATTTACTTAAGGGAGTAGTCTGAGAAATGTATGTCAAAGGCGAGCACAGTGCCAGTACCTGATACATCATAAGAACTCAATACTTGTTATTAGAGCAGCCCAAGAAAATCTCATCAAGGAGGTAAGACTTGAAAGAGGGTTTGCCAAAAGATTAGCAGAGTTTAAGGAAGTAGAGGGAAGAATTCATTACAGGAACAACATGCAGACAAAGGGCATGGTTTTGGGAATGGGTCTGACTCCACAAATAGGAGACTGACAGGACCGAGGTGATCCCTATAATAGGAAATAAGATGAGCAAGGTAAAGTGTGGGAAGACTACAGAGGACTTTTTGATGTTTCTGGGCAGTTGATTTTGGAGATTTATGAGGAATCATTGTCTGTTTGCCATGGTGGTCTGCTAACCTCACTGCATACTTGCCCATTAAAATGTAACTCTGATTTATCAAAATGTAATTCACATACATTGCTTTCAAATGTGAACTGATCATTGAAAATAAAGCGTGCCCTTATAGTTGTCTTATTTGTAGTTATGGATAATCCATAACTTTGAGATTTTGCCCTTCGGCTCTAAATCAAGGAGAGTTAAGTGCAAGTATTTGTAAGGTGGCAGAGTAACCAGTGCCCGATTCCTTCTAATGCTTCCTGCCTCCATCCTTTCCCTCGCCCTCTTTCTCCTCTCTTCCTCCTCCTGCTTGCCACCTTTACCCTTGTATCCCCAGCCTGTTCTAGCAGTCAGGCTAGAACATTTATAGTTATGGTTCTATTCAGATTATAGATGACATGACTTAGATAATGTACATCATAATTAGTAGAGACCAGCAGTTACCTGATTTTCCCAACTGTGCCTCGTGAGCCCTGAACCGATCAAATGTTCCTTCTTCCACTGTCAACCTTGCCAAGATCTCCTATGTGTCACCTTGGGGTCAGCCTCTGAAACCTGAATGTCTTCCAGCAAGCAGATCAATTATGCAGCCGCCAGGATTCCAAACGACTCAGGATGGGATGGTTAACCTCTCCCTAACAGTGGTATTTTCTTGTGATGACTTCTGTCACTGACGTTTTATAGAGCCTGCTCCTCTAGGATGGTGGTTCTTGGATTTGTTCTAGTGATGTGACATCCAGAAGCCTGCATTCTCTGTGGAACACCATGAATACTGGTTATGGTTTTTTTTTTTCCCCTACCAAACAAGGAATTACTTTACTTGCAGAAAAAGATGGTTGTGTTGTAGATAGCAACATAAAATCAAGATTTTGAGAATACACGTGTATGAACAAAATATCCTGTTGAATTATTGTTCTGCTGTTTACATTTCATTGTTGGTAGGTATTTGCTATTTTATTATCTGTCAGTCCTCATAAACAGATGGAAAAACATAGATTTGTCTTTAAATTTCTTTTTTTTCCCTTCCCTGCCAAGTAGGGAAAGCACTTTCATTTTATCTAAAGGAAAGAATTCAGCCAGCAATCTCATAAAGATAGTTTGAGAAGAGCTCTCTAGGAGCTGGTTGTTTCCTCCTAGGGCATAATGATGGCAATTATAGTACCATCTCCAGGTGGTACGTTGGGGTATGGAGTTAAGGCTCCAGTGTAGCTGAGATTAGTAGGGATGAAGCTTATAGTTCATTCAGCATTGCTCTATGAACACCTACTTCCTTAATACTCTTTAGCAAAGAACAGTTAATAATGCTCTCCAATAAGAGGAAGACAATCAGCTTTAGTTGTGGCAAAATAAAGACCTTCTAACATTTTTGCATAAATGCTTTTCAGTAACTTTTACTGTTGTTAATTATTACTTGGCTACCTTTAATATTACATACAGAGCTTCTAAGTAATTAAAAGTGCTGCTAGCACTGATCTAGTTACCTTAATACCTGTAGCTCTTCAGGGAACTGGCAATATATCTTTGCTTATTACCTAAAAGACCATCTTAAAGGGTTCCTACATACCCCCAGGATGTTTCTCTCTTTTCATACCTTTTATGGGGTCCCTGTCCCAGTCTTTCCTTTCCCTCTGTTGTGAGAATAGACATTCAGATCAGAATACATAGATTATGTGCAAGACCTTGAGAAAGTGAGAAGGAATAAGACAGGGCTCTGTCTTGAAGGAGCACCTAGCCTAGTAGGGAGAGGAGTTCCAGGAGACATGGGGGCCTTAGCTGCAGGTTTCCTTCTCCTCGCCATACTTCACAGCTTCATCTGCAAACTTAGATTCAAGGTAACTTTGTTTCAATTCACTCTTCCTTTCTATCTAATGTCCTCTTCCACACATACCTTGTAAGAAGATTTCCAGAAAAAAAGGCACACCCTTCACTTTAGGCCTCTTTGTGTTTCTGAAAAGGGCTAAAACTCTTCTCCTTTCTGAATTTAATTATTTTTAACATGACTGGTCAATCTGTATATTGAATTTTACAGAGGATACTTGAAAGAATGGATTTCCTAAAAAAAAAAAAATACCAATACCATCTCCAATCCTATTATTCTGGACACATACTTGAGGGCTGGAGCCCTAACTGCCAGGGAGACCCAGGGCTCTATAATTTGACTGAAGAGGCTGACAATGAATGCAAATTAAAGAAATAAAAAGTTCAGAAGCGTTCTAGTTCCTTAGGACAGGGGCAGACTAGATCAGGTGGTCAGATGAACCCAGGCCTTATTTTTCTCTGATAAAGATAAACCGAGAGTCTATCCATAGCTGATGTGCAAATACTGTGGCTCAGATAGGACTTAGATGTATATTGAAGGTTTATATTTTCCTTGGGTTAGCAGTCATTAAATATTCTTATTTTGTGACGTATTTTAATGGAATTAAGTTTAGAATCCATTGCATTAAAGTCACTAGTAGCTGTAATTACTAGCTTGACACTCAATTAATCATCAATGTCAATAGTAGCCATTTGCCCAGGCCTGATTGGGCTTCTGGTAAATGATGAGATGACACTTTTAAAATGTTAGTTGGGGCATACTCAAGGCAATAGAACCACATTGGATACCTGAGGTATGACATTTTATTTTTATTAATAAGTCCTGTAACTCTTCTCCAATGTGTCTGTGGTATAGGCAGTGGCAGATATTCTGTTTTACACTGAAACTGAATAGTCTAGACTTGTTGGACTGAACTCATTCACAAGAAATTTCTTTCTTTTTTTTTTTTTTTTAAAGATTTTTTATTTATTTATTTGACAGATAGAGATCACAAGTAGGCAGAGAGGCAGGCAGAGAGAGAGAGAGAGGAGGAGGCAGGCTCCCTGCTGAGCAGAGAGCCCGATGTGGGGCTCGATCCCAGGACACTGGGACCATGACCTGAGCCGAAGGCAGAGGCTTTAACCCACTGAGCCACCCAGGCGCCCCACAAGAAATTTCTTGACTGTTTATTATACTTTTACCTTTGAGATTCATAGTTTTTCTCCATTCTGTGGGGCTGCTGTCTGTTGTTCCTTCCTAGGTGGGAGCTTGCAGACTGTTATATCTGAAAACACAAAGTCTGGCAATCATTTCCAGGAGCCGAAACTCAAGGACATCCTTCTGCAGATTTCCCTTGGGCTTAAGTACATCCACAACTCTGGCGTGGTGCACCTGGACATCAAACCCAGTCAGTATGGCTCCGCTCTGCTCCTCTGGCCAGACTTCCCTGTGTCAGAATTGGTGCCTGTGTGTCTACCAAGTGTTGAAGATGCTGTTAGCTGGCAAAATCTCTTTCATTTGTTTCCCTAAAAAATTTAAACAGCTTTGTCCATTATCCCCTCTGGAACTAGGGGACAGAGAGAAAAGACTCTTTCACAGATAACGAAGCCAAAGTATGAAAATAGGTCTCTAACTCACTGCATAGTTAAGCGATCACATTTTGGCTACCTCCTGAATGTACTGACAACTAGTGCTGTATACACTCTTTCTAATTCAGCACTGACTAAAGTGAACAGAAATGGTTCTGGCACTCAATAATGTGAAACTCAAGGAAACACCTTTACCATGTTTTTCGGGCTTATTTCTTTGTTTTGAGGCTACTAGCCTCTTCAGAGGAGGAGTGTCTGAGATCAGTTTCCCTTCAAATAGGTATTCTCAATTACTGAGCTGTTCAGAAGTAGTGTGAGAGATTCCATGGAAGAAAAGAAACGTAGAGAGTGCTGTTATGTGTATACAGAAGAGGAAGAGAGGAGGGTGGCTGAAATGACAGACACAGAAAAGAATCTTTGGCGTGAAAAAGCTAAGGAGTCGTGACTTTGTCAATTCAGTATTTTTTGATTGTTGGTTTGTTTTTGTTTCAGGTAACATCTTCATTTGTCATAAGATGCAAAGTGACTCTCCTGTAGTCCCAGAAGAGATTGAAAATGAAGCTGATTGGTTTCTCTCTGCCAATGTGATGTATAAAATCGGTGAGTTTGGGGCACCTGGGTGGCTCACTTGGTTGAACGACAGCCTTCAACTCAGGTCATGATCCTGGAGTCTCGGGATGGAGTCCCGAATCGGGCTCCCTGCTCAGCAGTGGGTGGGCTTCTCCCTCTGACCTTCCCCCTCTTATGCTCAATCTCTCTCATTCTTGCCTCTCTCTCAAATAAATAAATAAAATAAAAAAAAATAAAATTGGTGAGTGTGCCTTAAGCTCTGACCTGTATATTATCTTATAAAATTTATAGTAATGACCCCATTTATTCTAGTTTTAAAGACATGCTTTTAAAGGGCTCTATTTTTTTTTCTTTCTTTTTTCAGGTGACTTGGGTCATGTGACATCAATAAGCAAACCAAAAGTGGAGGAGGGAGATAGTCGCTTCCTGGCTAATGAGATTTTACAAGAGGTAAAGATTAGGGAAACAGAGGGTATTTTATAACCCATTGAACTTTTTGACTCTCAAATGAAGGTTCACAGTGCAAGAGATGTTTATAGTTTTTTTAAAAGACTGTATTTTATTTTATTTATTTTTTTTTTAGCGCTCTACCACTTCTTTTTTTTTTCTTCATATGGTATTTATTTTAGAGAGAGAGCCCTAGTGCATGAGTAGGGGGAAGGACAGAGGGTGGGGAGGGAGAATCTCAAGCAGATGCTGTGCTGAGTGCAGAGCCCAGTGCAGGGCTTGATCTCATGACCCTGAGATCATGACCTGAGCTGAAATCAAGAGTCAGATGGTTAACTAGCCACCCATGTGCCCCAAAAGTTCATATTTATAATTTAAATTGATATTATCCACTTTCCTATTCAGAATTGAGACCAAAGATAAGAAACTTAAAAAACAAAACAAAACAAAACAGCATGAGGAAAGCTGGCTCTGTCATGGATTAATCAATATTTTTGCTGTTTTTTTTATAAAGGTCCTTTACTGTTTCTAGTATTTCTTAGAATTCCTAAACTCATGGATTCCCTAGCAGAAAGGAATCCTTTATTGGTTCAGTCCATCTTTATCATGCTATCATCCTTCTGGTAGTACCATTAGCTCTGATGAAATGACCTTCATTTATTGCCTACCTTTTAGGATGTCTGTGGAGTCAGGGTAGGAAGGATTTAACTCCCTCTAGGATGATGATATCTGTGCCCAGCTAGTCTGTGCTTGAAGCCTCTTTGAGCCTGATAGACTAAAACAGTACTAAGACTCTGCCTTAAAAGCTTCTACCAGCCATGGCAGATGTGACCTTGCCCACTGTCCAAGCTCATATGTACTCAAAACAACCTCTCTTACCAGTTGTCTTTACTGTCATCTCACTAGGCAAACTAACTGACCTTCCTCTCTTCTGTTTTGAAGGATTATCAGCACCTTCCCAAAGCAGACATATTTGCCTTGGGATTAACAATTGCAGTGGCTGCGGGAGCAGAGTCCTTACCCACCAATGGCGCCGCATGGCATCATATTCGTGAGGGGAACATTCCCAACATTCCTCAGAAGCTCTCAGAAGAATTTTACAATCTACTCAAGGTGGTATCTCTTATGAGATGAAGAGAAGATAGAAAATGTCTTTTTTTTAAAGAAATACAATGGCAAGGAGGTGGGGAAGGGGAAAAGGAGATGCTGGTGGTGTCAATGACAGAAGAAAAAGGAATCATGACCTCGAAGCCCAGAAAAGCTACAGGACAGACTGAAAGCTTCTCAAGGAAACTTAGAGAACATTATAGAACCTTTTATGTTCCAGTTTAAAATCCTGTTACATTTTTTCCTTTTCCCTTCCCAACAGGTGGGCAGTTCAGGAAACCAAGGCTCAGAGCAGTTCCTGGACTTGTGTCCTCACCTTTGACAACTGATTAACTCTAAAATCAAACCTGGTCTTTTGCTCTTGTTTCAGGATTTTAACTATTGTCATTGGTAATGGTGATATTATGAAAGATATTTGAATTCTGAGTGTATAGAAGAAAGTATAAGCTATTTTACAGATGGGTAACTGGCAATACCACCAATCAGCTGCACTATTGGAAAAAGGCATAATGTTAGTTTAGGAATTTGTGTGTTACTTGTATTCTGCGATATCTGAGTATGTGTAGGGACAAGGAAAGGAGGTGCTTCTGTTGAAACAGAGGTGCAAGAAAATGACACTGTTGAGAAGCTTAGAATTATATTAAGAATTCAAAATATCTACGTAAGACTTCATGGTTTAAGGAACAAGACTGGTTAGGACACCTACAAATGCTTTAGAAACATCTACTCTTAGGGATTAAATTTGAGTTTCATAGTTCACCTGAAAACTTCAAATTTAGTTGCAAACTTGTCCTTCTGTGCTTCTGCTTTCCTGAAAGAATAAAGTAAACCCTTGCTCCCAGCAGACTTTCATGCATGGCCTAATCACTTATTTCTATGTGTAAATTACTGTTAGATTTAGTTAATACATACTGAGTACTTCAGTGCTGGTCCAGTGGACTAGTTACACATATATGTCAGTTCATTTAAATCTTACGATGCTCCAGAAGGTGAATATTGTTATCCCAAGTATCAGGAAAGGGAAACCGAGTTTCAGCACAGTTAAGTCACTTCCTCAAGCTACTTAGTGAATGGTGGAGCCAGTTCTGAACATTGGTCTTCAAATGGAAGGTCCCGTGTTTTCTCTGTTTTATGACATTGCTAATTGCTGTAAGTAATTAGCTACTTTTTACTGTATTTACATTGTTAAATTAAGGCACTTTCTACCTAAAGATGAGTGTTGTAGGAATGCTGTCATGGCGGGGGGTACCCTTAGTTTTAAGTGGAAAGGAGCATGTTGGAGTAGAAAGCAAATGGAACTAGGAGTTGGTTGACTTGGGTTTTAGTCTTGGTCCTGTTAATAAGATGGGCAAGTCAATTTTGATTTCAGGACCTCAGTTTCTCCCCATTTAAAATTAAGGCATTAGACTAGGTAATCACACAGCTAGCTCTAAAATATGATAAAGACAAGTCAAAGTTATAGATGACGGATGTCACTGCATAGAGATAACAATCCTGTCCCTGGTGGAGCTAAGTTTTCATTTATTTCTTCCCCTGCAAAGTTAAAAGCAGAGTTTGACAAAACTCACCAGCAGTAGCTGAGTTGGAGTTGGCTTGGGTGGGGAGATTTTCCCAGCAGTGAAATTTCTGTATCTTTTGCTTTGGTCAAACATCAACAGAGCATGATCCACCCTGACCCAAGGGAGAGACCTTCTGCAGCAGCTCTGGCCAGAAGTCGAGTTCTCCGACCCTCCCTTGGGAAAGCAGAAGAGCTCCAGCAGCAACTTAACTTGGAAAAGTTCAAGACCGCCACACTGCAAAGGTAGTTTTTTTTGTTTGTTTTGTTTTCTTTTTTTAAAGTAAGCCCTAGGCCCAATGTGGGGCTTGAACTCACAACCCCAAGATCAAGTCACTTATTTAACACATCCCCCTACCCACCTCCCTTCTGGTAATCCACCAGGTTGTTCTTTATAGTTAAGAGTCTGTTTCTTGATTTGTCTTCTTATTTTTTTCCTTTGCGTTTTTTGTTTCTTAAATTCCACATTATAAGTGAAATCATATGGTATTTGTCTTTCTCTGACTCTCTAGTTTCATCAATATCCTTCCAAATGGCAAGATTTCATTCTTTTTTATGGCCGAATAACATTCCATTAAATATATACACCACATCTTTCTTTATTTTTATTTTTGTTTTTATTTTTTAAAAGATTTTATTTATTTATTTGACAGACAGAGATCACAAGTAGGTAGAGAGGCAGGCAGGGGGGGGGGGGCGCACGCTCCCTGCTGAGCAGAGAGCCCGATGTGGGGCTCGATCCCAGGACCCTGAGATCATGACCTGAGCAGAAGGCAGAGGCTTAACCGACTGAGCCACCCAGGTGCCCCTAAAGTAACATATAATGTATTATTTGTTTCAGGGGTACAGGACTGTGATTCATCAGTCTTACACAGTTCACAGTACTCACCGTAGCACATACCCTCTTCAGTGTCCATCACCCAGCCATCCCATCCCTCCCACCTCCCTCCCCTTCAGCAACCTCAGTTTGTTTCCTGAGATCAAGAGTCTCCTGTGGTTTGTCTCCCTCTCTGGTTTAATCTTGTTTCATTTTCCTTCCCTTCCCCTATGATTCTGTCTTGTTTCTCGAATTCTTCATATCCATGAGATCATATGATAATTGTCTTTCTCTGATTGACTTATTTCGCTTAGCATAATATCCTCTAGTTCCAACCATGTTGTTGCAAATACCAAGAGTTTTTTTTCTTGATGGCTGCACAATATTCCATTATATGTATAATGGAATATTGTATTATATATAATTGTATTGTATTATATATAATTATATGTAATATATAATTATATTAAATATATAAATATATATTTAATTATATTAATATTTATTATTATTATTTATTAATTATTATTATTATTTATTATTTATTATTATTATTTATTAATATTTATTATTATTACATTATATTTAAATATATATTTAAATATATATTTAATATAATTAAATATATAAAATAATATAATTTTATATTGTATTATATATAATTGGATATATATATATCACATTTTCTTTACCCATTCATCTGTTGATGAGTATCTAGGCTCTTTCCATAGTTTGGCTATTGTGGACATTGCTGCTATAAACATTGGGGTGCATGTACCCCTTCAGATGACTTCATTTGTATCTTTAGTATATAACCTCTTCTTTACCTATTCACGTATTGATGAACACTTGGGCTGCTTCCGTAATTTAGTCACTGCAGATAATGCTGCTATAAACATTAGGGTGCATGTATCCCTTTGAATTAGTGTTCTTGTGTTCTTTGGGTAAATACCCAATTGCTGGATTATAAGGTAGTTCTCTCTTTAACTTTTTGAGGAACCTCCACAACTGTTTCCCACAGTGGCTGTACTAATTTGCATTCCCACCAAAAGTGCAAGAAGGTTCCTTTTTCTCCTCATCCTCTTCAACACTTGTTGTGCCTTGTGTTGTTGATTTTCCCATTCTTTCCCACTCAGGGGTGAGGTGAGTCTCATTGTAGTTTTCATTTCCCCGATAAGTGATGATGACCAAGTTTTCACGCATCTATTTGCCATCTGGATGTCATCTTTGGAGAAATGTTTGTACATGTCTTCTGCAAATTTTCAATTGGGTTATTTTTGGGGGGTTGTGTTGTATTAGTTCTTTATATATTTTGAAAACTAACCCTTTATAAGATATCTGTCCAATATCTTCTCCATTCCTTAGGTTGCCTTTCAGTTTCACTGATGATTTCCTTCACTGTGCAGAGGCTTTTCATCCTGAGGTCCCAAAAGTTCATTTTGCTTTTGTTTCCCTTGCCCCAGGAGACATATTTAGTAAGAAGTTGCTATGGCCAATGTTGAAGAAGTTACTACCTGTGTTATCTTCTAGGATTTTTATGGTTTTAGGTCTCAAATTTAGGTTTTTAATCCATTTTGAGTTTATTTTTGTGTATGGTGTAAGAAAGTGGTCCAGTTTCATTCTTTTGCAGGTAGCTGTCCACTTTTCCCAGAACCATTTGTTGAAGAGACTGTCTTTTCCCCCATTGGATATTCTTCCTGCTTTGTTGAAGAATAATACACTGTAAAACTGTGGGTTTATTTCTGGATTTTCCATTCTGTTCCACTGATCTCTGTGTCTATTTTTGCGTCAGTACCATACTGTTTTAATTACTACAACTTTGTAGTATAACTTGAAGTATGGAATTGTGATGCCTCCACCTTTTCTTTTCTTTTTCAAGATTGCTGTGGCTATTCAGGCTCTTTTGTGGTTCCTTACAAGTCTTAGGATTCTTTGTTCTACTTCTGTGAAAAATGCTATTTGTATTTTGATAGGGATTGCATTAAATGTAGATTTCTTTGGGTAGTAGAGACATTTTAACAATATTTGTTCTTCCAATCCATGAGTGTGGAATGTCTTTCCATTTCTTTGTAATGTCTTCAATTTCTTTCATCAGTGTTTTACAGTTTTCAGAGTACAGATCTTTCACCTCTTTGGTGAGGTTTATTCCCAAGTATCTTATAGTTTTTGGTGTAATTATAAATGGGATCAATTCCTTTATTTCTCTTTCTGCTGCTTCATTATAGGTACATAGAAATGAAACAGATTTCTACAGATTGATTTCGTACCCTGCAACTTTACTGAATTCGTTGATCAGTTTTACCAGTTTTTTGTGGAGTGTTTAGGGTTTTCTATATACGGTATCATGTCATCTGCAAATAGTGAAAGTTTGACCTCTCCTTACTGATTTGGATTCCTTTTATTTTTTTCTTGTCTGCTTGCTGTGGGCTAGGACTTCCACTACTATGTTAAGTAAAAGTGGTGAGAGTGGACATCCTTGTTTTGTTCCTGATCTTAGGGGAAAAGCTCTATTTTTCCCCATTAAGGATGACGTTAGCTATGGATTTTCATAGATGGCCTTTATTATGTGGAGGTATGTTTCCTCTAAACTTAAAGGGTTTTGTTTTTTTTTTTTAAATCATGAACAGATAATGTACTTTGTCAAAAGCTTTTTCCGCATCTATTGAAATGATTATATGGTTTTTATCCTTTCTCTTATTGATGTGGTATATAACATTGGTTTATGAATACTGAACCACCCTTGCAACCCAGGAATAAATCCCACTTGTGGGAATGATTGTGGTGAATGATTTTTAAATGTATTGTTGAATTCAGTTTGCTAGCATTGAGAATTTCTGCATCTATATTCATTCGATGTATTGGCTTGTAGTCCTTTAGTGATATCTTTATCAGGCTTTTATTTTTAAAAATTTTAAACATCCCTTATGCCCCAATCAGTAGGATTTAGGAAACCTAATCTGCCATGTGTTATGGCATGTATATGCCAGCCATTTTTAAAGAAAATCATGGAGTTAATTTTCTATTCTGTATATAGCTCAGGCTTATTTCTATAAATGCTGAAATAAAAAGAAAAATCTATGTTAGTTTAGATCAAAAATACCCTCTTTAATTTAGGATCAAGTAATATATTTCTTCCCCTTTAATTGCCAGGGAACTGAGAGAAGCTCAGCAGGCCTGGTCTTCCCAGGAAGAGCATGGTGATGCTGGGGTCTCTGGGACCCCCACAGGATCAAGAAGCACCAAACGCCTGGTGGGAGGAAAAAGTGCAAAATCTTCATGCTTCAGCTGGGGGAAGTCTTCCCCATAAGAACTCAGTTCACACCAACCCCCCTTTTGCCTTATAGCTTTCAGAAAGAGATATTGACTGTGTCAGCCTTCCTCTTGTAAAGGGGAAGATTAAGCAACGAGTGCCCAAAGAATTCAAAAACTACTCCTAATTTAGCATTGACAACCAGGATAGTCAAGCTATTAAGGCCTCGTATTAGCAACGGTCCCAGGTACAATCACTGGCAGCCATTTCTCTTCTTTTGTTATATTCTTAAGGCTACCTATCAACAGTTTGTTTACTTCTCACACTCACTGATGTACAATGGGAAAGCAGGTATCTCTGAACTCAAAGAAGAGAAAGCAGCACCCTAGGCACAGTCCATGGACTAGGAGGCTGCTGTAGCTGATTGCCTACCAAGGAATAGGGACTCTCCCTGCACATAGAAAGGAATATAATTTTGTTTTGAGTTGAGGTAACTGTGCATGTATTTCAATAATGTTTCTTGGGGTGAATGATGGTATTCCTAAAAGAATTCTCAGCCACTCTAAGCAAGTGGTTTTCCTACTATATTCTTTAAGTGAAGACAATCCCTTTATCAGATATTATATTTATTAAATGAGTTTACCATTATGTCAAGTGGGTAGAAATAGCCTATATATAACTTATAATTTCTGGACTGGCTATTAACTTATGGAACAAAACACTGGGTAATGGAGTTCAAGGAAAATTTAATGTGGTTGTTCTTCAGAATATTTGCGCTGACCCTCCTGTAATTGTTATGACTGGTTTTGATTTTGTGGGTGTCACCAATTTCTCCTTGATTTTTATCAGAATTTGGGTTTGTTTCCTGTGATTTTATGATATTTTAATCCAAATTATTTTTTCTGTATATATTTTAAGGGAATAGAACATTTGTAAATAAAGGTTTTTATCTTGTCCAAAGCCAAATATGGGTAAAGTACTCTTCTTTGTAATATGTAACAAAGAGTGAGAAATTTCTGTTAGAAACCATTTCATGAGTAGATACGTGAGAAAATTTAGTAGGTTGGTAGTACCAGGTCTTGGCTGTAAGGCTCAGCTTTGTGGGCCTAAAAGCTAATAATGGTCAGGCTCTAATACATAAAATAATATTGGTCATAACAGCATTTGATAACTTAGATGTGCCATGTTAATGAAGGTAGCCCGTTAATGGCTTGTAGGCTTATTCGCTCCCTCATATTCTTCTTTACCCTCCATTTTAAAAAGCAAATTAAGAAGTGTTTTTAAATTGAATAAACCATCATACCATTCTTTGTTCTGTCTTGGAGTAGCAATTCTTCCCATGCAGGTAAGTGGGGTAAAGTGCTCTGTGTTGTCCCTCGCCATTTTTAAAGAGCTAGTCTTTATTCAAGGTTTTAAAATGGAGTTGATTTACCTCTTGCCTCCCCAACCCCAGCCATATCTTTTGAAGTAGCATATGAGGTCAACCACAATCTGTGATTTAGAAACATGTTATTAAGCATTTGCAATGTATAGGCCAGAATTCTTGGATTATATTTGTCTTCTCAGGCACTGACAACTAATACTATTAAGGTCTATGACCTCTTCTCTACCCTGCTTCTCAGAGACCATGTTGGCACCTGAGTGCCAGACTACTGCTTTCTCTCCCTTTCTTTCTGGTGGCGGGACTCCACAGTAGCACAGTTACTAAACCAGCAGGTAGCTGCATAGACACTATAGAGTGTGAGAGGGACTGGGTCTTTGCTGGGCTGGGGACTTCATTCCTTCCAGTTCAGTTGGAAGTTGAAGTTGACCCCTTGCCTCCATCCTCAGTCTGAAGTTTTATTTCTGCCCAGAGATCACAAGATAACCCAGGAACTAGTTATCCAATGTCAAACTGTCAAATATTAACATCACTGGACTGACAATATTAAACAAGTTGAACTTAAATATTTTAGGATATAAATATGCTGCTTTTTCTATAGATGTATCTTAAACACAGACATTAAGTTGCCAACAGATAATCTTGAGGCTTAAAGGAATGCTATTGAGCTTTACTAAGCTCTAACATATGTATTGGTTTATAGATGCCATTACCTAAAGCTGTATAAAGATGAACATTAAAAGATAAAGGTCACCATTTTAGCCTGAATGGTTAAGATTTTTTTCTTAATCTCTGTATGAACCATAATTTTAGTCCTGAATTACATAAAAATTGTCAGGTTGATTTAAAAAAGAAACTTAACAAAAAGTAGCCATAATAACTAATAACTATGAAGTGCTGCTAAAATTGCTTTTGAGCCACTTTAAAATAGATGCTGTAATCCATTTAAATAGTAAGTGCTATAATTTTCCAACTGTTATTATGAGGCTTGAGAAAAACTGATTTAGAACCAAAGTGAAAATCTGATTGAAATTTCTTTCTTTCTTTTTTTTTTTTTTAAAGAGAGAGAGAGAGAGAGAGCGAGCGCACAGGCAGACAGAGTGGCAGGCAGAGGCAGAGGGAGAAGCAGGCTCCCCACAGAACAAGGAGCCCGATGTGGGACTCGATCCCAGGACGCTGGGATCATGACCTGAGCCGAAGGCAGCTGCTTAACCAACTGAGCCACCCAGGCGTCCCCTGATTGAAATTTCTAACAAATGTTTTTCTACCACAACAAAATTGTCCAAAGCTTCCTATCTGTGACAAAGCACCGCCATCCCTGGTCTCTACCACTTGATGCCTATAAGTGAGATTTTTTCTAATTTAGAAGGGAAAAAAGGCAAGGCCAAAGATAACTTTGTGTCTCTTGGCATCTATTTTTTTATTATGTTAGTCACCATACAGTACATCATTAGTTTTTGATGTAGTGTTCCATGATTCATTGTTTGTGTATAACACTCAGTATTCCATGCAATACATGTCTTCCTTAATACCCATCACAGGGTTCACCCATCCCCCCACCACACATCCCTCTACAACTCTTCCTTAATACCCATCACAGGGTTCACCCATCCCCCCACCACACATCCCTCTAGAGCCCGATGTGGGACTCGATCCCAGGACGCTGGGATCATGACCTGAGCCGAAGGCAGCTGCTTAACCAACTGAGCCACCCAGGCGTCCCCTGATTGAAATTTCTAACAAATGTTTTTCTACCACAACAAAATTGTCCAAAGCTTCCTATCTGTGACAAAGCACCGCCATCCCTGGTCTCTACCACTTGATGCCTATAAGTGAGATTTTTTCTAATTTAGAAGGGAAAAAAGGCAAGGCCAAAGATAACTTTGTGTCTCTTGGCATCTATTTTTTTATTATGTTAGTCACCATACAGTACATCATTAGTTTTTGATGTAGTGTTCCATGATTCATTGTTTGTGTATAACACTCAGTATTCCATGCAATACATGTCTTCCTTAATACCCATCACAGGGTTCACCCATCCCCCCACCACACATCCCTCTACAACTCTTCCTTAATACCCATCACAGGGTTCACCCATCCCCCCACCACACATCCCTCTATTAACTCTCTTATGGTTCATCTCCCCCTCTGATTGCCTTCCCTTCATTTTTCCCTTCCTTCTCCTAATGTCCTCCATGCTCTTCCTTACGTTCCACAAGTAAGTGAAACCCTATGATAATTGACTTTCTCTGCTTGACTTATTTCACTCAGTATAATCTCTTCCAGTTCCATCCATGTTGATGCAAAAGTTGGGTATTCATCCTTTCTGATGGCTCAGTAATATTCCATTATATATATGGACCATGCTCATGGATTGGAAGAATAAACACTGTTAAAATGTCTATGCCACTTGGAGCAATCTATACTTTCAATGCCATTCCGATCAAAATTCCACCGGCATTGTTCAAAGAACTGGAACAAACAATCCTAAAATTTGTATGGAACCAGAAGAGACCCCGGATTGCTAAGGAAATGTTGAAAAAGAAAAAAAACAAAACTGGGGGCATCACATTGCCTGATTTCAAGCTTTACTACAAAGCTGTGATCACCAAGACAGCATGGTACTGGCACAAAAAACGGGCTCTGGGTGTCTATGATAGACACTTCGCTTTCTCAGCTAGCTTTGCAAAGGATGAAAGCCCTGAATGATTCCACTACTGCCAGGGGAAATGGTAGCTGATTAAAGTCACATTGCTATCTGTCACTACTTCTCAGCATCAAGAAGGCCCTTTCTGGGTCCATGGATGAACTACAGAGCCTACAGTTATGCAAATTGGAGATTCTTGAAAGAGAGAGGCAGCTCTATTACAGAAATACATTTCAGCCACTCTTCCAGGTCCTTGATTCTTTGTTGTTTTTAGTCTTCTAATTTCAGGCTTATTTGAGTATCCTTCTGGGTTCTTCCTTTTTTTTTTTTTTGTTTTTTTGTTTTTGTTCTAGCCTATGACCTGAACCCTTCTAAAGCCTCTCCTTGCTTTAGAGCATAATTTTTGATTCACAAATTCACAAGGTCCCTGTCCTCTAGAGCTCACAGACAATGGGGAAGATGAGGCATCTTCATGGTCATCTACATTATAATACAAGATAAACTGAGTGTGTAAAGAAAGTGAAATTGGAGAAAAAAGTAAGGACTTTTGAGTAGAGAATTCTGAAAGTATGGAAAAGGGCATTTCAGATGCTGAGAACAGTGAGCAAAGCGATGCTGGAGCATTTGTTGTGGGGAAGGAGGATCTAGGTGATAAGAAAATGCTTCAACTCCGTTTTTCCATGACATTATACATTTACGTATTTTGTATATTTTAATTTTTTTTTGGTCAAGAAAAAGTAAGGTAGCACTTGTGATTTGTTTCAACAGTCTAAGGAGCATGTGTATTAGTAATTCTTGTCTGAGAATTGAGGTTAGTTCAAGATGCTGTTTATTTAGATTAAGGTGTTATTAAGTTATGAGTCTGTCCAAGGATGGTTTCAACTGGCGTACTTTCTGCTTATTTATTTATTTTTAAAGATTTTATTTATTTAACAGAGACACAGTGAGAGAGGGAACACAAGTAGAGGGAGAGGGAGAAGCAGGCTTCTGCCAACCCGGGAGCCAGATGTGGGGCTCGATCCCAGGACCCTGGGATCATGACCTGAGCTGAAGGCAGACACTCAATGACTGAGCCACCCTAGCACCCCTGCTTTTTTATTTTAAACAATCCTTTCCACACTCCTCACTCAGAAGTATGTGTAAATAGAAAGAGGGAGAGGTCAGTGGCATAATGAAATAACTTTGAGGACCGAGTGCATATGGACAAATAGATGTAGGTGATGAGGGAGAAGTTTTAAAGATGATTCCAAAGTTCAAGTCTGGGATAATATTGGTACCATTAAACAAATAGCTTAGGGGCGCCTGGGTGGCTCAGTGGGTTAAGCCACTGCCTTCGGCTCAGGTCATGATCTCAGAGTCCTGGGATCGAGCCCCGCATCATCATCATCATCGCATCATCGGGCTCTCTGCTCAGCAGGGAGCCTGCTTCCTCCTCTCTCTCTGCCTGCCTCTCTGCCTGCTTGTGATCTCTCTCTGTCAAATAAATAAATAAAATCTTTAAAAAAAATAGCTTAAAAGGGGGAAATTGGTTTTGGAGGACAGGATGAATTTTGCTTTTCATCTGAGTCAACAGCTCAAGTAGAAGGAAGATTTTTTTTAAACATAATTTTTGAAAAAGATTTTGTTTATTTTAGAGGGAGGGAGCCAAGGAGGAGGGAGGGAGAAATGGAGAGAGTCTCCAGCAGACTCTGGGCTGAGCGTGGAGCTTGAGGTGGGGCTGGATCTCAGGATACTGAGCTTACGACCTGAAACTAAACCAACTGAAACTAAACCAAGAGTCAGATGCTTAACGGAGTGAGCCCCTAGAAGTGCGATTTTTAAACAGGAAATCACTGGAGGGCACTGACAGTAGTAACAGCTGGTGGGGTGTGGGATGATTGATACCTGTGCAAGGGCTGAAGGCAGTATAACACGCTGTTTCAGGAGCTAAACATGGTGAAGGCAGGGGTAAAACGGGAGATAAGCGTCTAGAATGTACCAAGTAGAAAGCCAGGCTTTTAGGAGCAGGTTAAAGTGTGCACCGGAGACCACGTTAAGTAGTTTGTATTTTTCTCTTTTAACGGCAAAAATGGGCCAATGAAGCCCTGTAAGTAGGGTTTGGAGAAGGCGATGTGCTTGTTAGAATGTGCTGGAGGGTACCCTCCTTTTCTAGACGTTGGACAGGACAAAGACCAGCAGAGGAGGGGCCTGGCGAGGCCGACTCTGGCCTGTATCCTGCAACCTGTGGGACCCCAATACCCTCTTGCTAAGCAGGGCCAAGATTAGGGTGAATGAGGCAAAATTTAAGGGGTGCCCAGAAACACGGCAATCAAGATCAAGGCCACTTTAATGCAATACTTAAAAAATATTAAAATTAAAGATCCACAAGGAAGAACATATCAGAATTTTAAATAAAACAAGATCAACAAGCTGAGGTTAGTTAAAACTATGTAAGAGCGCAACTTGGTCAAGAAAAATGGTCAGAAATGGCAATTCCTGCAACTGGAAATAAGCAAAGGTGTTGATTTTTGCAATTATTGATCAATTTACTTCTATTAAAGCCAGGAAAGTAAAACTACAGTGACTTGTTTTTGGTATAAATAAAATATTTAAATTTAATGTGGGGAGTTTTAATATACCCTCTCTTCGAATTTTTGATATTCAAGTATTTCAGTGTTCTGGATTTTTTTTTCTTTTTCTGTGTAAAGTTCATTTTTTCCTCGTGCCTCAGGATTCACTACGACTCAGAACTTACACTTAGTTAAATTTCTTATTTTTTCGTTCCTCACAGATTTTTTTGAATGAATATATTCTTAAAATATTATCCTGATTCTTCCTAAAATATTATTTTGATTGCCAAATGTTTTGGCACCCCCTGAATTTTTCGCTCTCAGCCCTACTTTTTCTGGGAACCCTACTACGTAGGCAGGCCTGGACCTTTCCAGTCTTTCCCCGAGGCCCCTCTATCCTTTGTTTCGTCTACCTCGCCCCCTCCTGGTCCAGGCTGGGAAGCTTGTCAAATAATTTCATTTCATGAGAAACTTGAAACTGGCAGCACTCACCACTCGGCGGCGTTGCCTTCTCCGCTCCCTCCGGAAAAAAAAGCTCCCGGAACTATCCCATCACGGATGCTTGCTTTCCCCCGGCGCTAGCCGGAGCATTTCTACGGCGCACGCTGCGGACTTTCCGTTTTCTTATTCCTCTCGCGAGGCTTGCGTCCGATCTCTATCCGGAAGTGCTCGCCTAGCTCGAACCTGAACCGGCTCGAGCGTTCGGCGAGGGAGGGAGTGAGCCGAGAGTTCCTCGCTGCGTGTGCGTGCGGCTCTAAGTGGCTCGGGACGTGGTGGTGTGTTTGTCTTGGTCCTTCTCTTCTCACCTGTGCGGAGGACTTCAGGGGTTTCTGCCACTTCCCAATCCCTTTACGTTCTGGTTAGGACCGCCACCTTTGAGAAAGGGCGCCCGCCCATCCCGGCGGTGAGGCCGGGGAGTCCTGGGATCTCCATGTTCTTTGCTAACGGGATTGGAAGCAGTAATTTTTGCAGCAGCAAGTTTCAAATTTAAGTCCCTTGATGATATTGTAATACTTAATCGAATCGTCACCATGTATTAGGAACTAACTTAGGAGTATTGAATGTGGCTGTGAATAAATCAGACGAAAGCCCCAGCTCTAAGGGGGCTTGCATTTTAATAACATTTGAGAAGACTGGAATGCAAATGGGCATAATTCAGAAAGAGTATTTTTTGCATGTGGCAGAGGAAGAGGAAGCCAAGGGGAATAAAAAAGATAAACTTTTTTTTTTTTTTTTTTGAGGGGGAAGTCCTTGTAAAATGTGCAGGAATGTTGGTGTTTATGGTCGTAAGGTGGACTGCGTAAAAATTATGAATGGAGTTAGGAATTTAGGGTCAGTGAATTTGTGCTTTTGCTCTAAGAAACACTATTTATCGTGCTTTCTCCCCCTGTCTCTCTCTCTCTTTTTTTTCCCCCCAGGGGAAGACCAAAGACTAGATTGTAGGAAAAGCAAATAGAAGCCATGTTTCGAAGACCTGTATTACAGGTAACCACTTTGACATATTAGTGTTGAGATGTGTTATGATCAACTGTAGTGATCAGATCTCGTCAGTCCTTTGACTGCAGAGGCAAAAGGCGTTTGGGCCCACCTACTTTATGTGTAATCATTTGACAGGATTTGGGACAGATTTTACTTGTGTAAGTGATGTTCACTAAAACAGAAAATAATTTCCTAGCTTACATGTATAAGAGGAGTCATAGTTTTTAAAAACATGCTACTTGCATTTAGATCAGTTAGCATTTAATATCTTTAGTGATCTAAAGACTATAGAAATCATCTCCAGTTGTTTTTCTAGGAGGCATGTGGTCAGACTGTCCTCTGTGGTCAGACTTCCACCCCACTTCTCCCTGTCCTGAAGAGTGCATCTGAAGTCATCATGTCACCACAAACGTACGATGTCCTCAATTCCTTCTCACTTCCACCAGTCTGACTCCTTATTTCTCCGGACACTCTAGCCTGCCTTCACCCAGACTAGACCATCCATTTTCCTCACTTACATTTGGTCACCAAGTTTGTAGTTTTTTCTTTATAACCCCTCTCTCACTCACCAGCCTGTTAAGACTGATGAAGAATCAGTTCCTCTCAGAAACCTGTTCTCCTAGGGTTTTTGTTGTATCAGAAATACAGAGACATTTTTATTCTCAGTTAGTTGACTAGAGATGAGCTACTTTTAGAAAGACCCATTATTCTGCGACTTGGGAGCTGTGGCTCATCTGAGTATTTCAAGTAGGACCTTTTGAGAAGCATGATAGCAGTACTAGTTTGTTTGAGTCTTTTTACCACGTGACAACTCCATCTTTATTTCTTAACCACCTCGTGTCCCAAAACGTAGGGATAGGATTCCGTAGTTTGCACTGCCCCAGGAACGGGTGTTCATTTGGTTGGTGGACAAGTGCTTTTTATATGAACAGTGCTACCTACTTGACACATGCTTCTCTGATGTACCGAGTAGTTCTCTGAACGCTGGAGGCAGCAGAGGGCAGTGGGAAAGTGGCAGCCTTGGTGTCAGATGGCCCTGGGTTCTAGGCACAACTTGCCTGTTATTTCTTGTAGGATTTTGGGCTGTTAATCTGTCTAAACCCTTTTTTTTTTGGTCTCCAAAGTAGGGATAATTTTACATAGTTGATTGGTTTCTTCCAAGGAATAATCTGTAAGAGGTAAAGCACTTAGCTGGTGTTCAGTAATGATAGCTGTTGTATCATTGCTGCTGTTTTGTGTCACTTACTACTTTCCACTGACAGACGGACTTGAATGGTCCTATTTTTGTACTTTATCAGAGAACCCGATTTATCTGAGTCTTTTCCCTTTGGTTTATCTAAAGCATGAATTTTTCCAAAATACATTTGATTTTACCCTTTGTGTGCAGCCACAGAAGCACCATAACCAGGAGGGCTGCCAGAAAAGAAACAAGGATTCTAAATTAACCTTCCTGGGCGTGCCGTCTAGGACATGGTACCCTTGGGCTTCTGGAGTAGTTGGCCCTCAGGGCCCTCAAGCGTTTGTGTGGTCCTCGTGGTGCTCTGAGGGGGAACATGTGACATGCACTGCTACCCTCTGGGGGTGTGTGCTGTATGAGTCGCTGACTTGATGGTGACCGAGTGTGAGCAGGTCTTCTGTTGGGTTTACCTTTCCTCCCAAATTAAAGCCATTTTACTCATTTGTTCTACTTTAGGTATTTCATCAGTTTGTAAGACGTGAGTCTGAAGTAGCCACCAGCTTGGTTCTTGAAAGATGTAAGTAGTAGCTAATTTCCTAGTTTAAAGTATGTTATTTGTAGCAACGTACAAATATTCTTAAGTGTGTTGTAGAAGAGGTGCACTAGTTGGGTTGTAATCTGTTAATCTTCAAGCCCTTGGCCCGTGTTTGCCTGTCTGCTCTTGGCCTCATCCCATCAGGCTGAGGGGCCTTGTAAGAATTTCCTTGAGTCCTGTTTGGTTATCTTGGTCTTCCAAGGTCATCTGCTATTTGGCTGGGGGAGTGAAAGTTTGTGCAAGCTGTTCTTTCACAGAAATATTCACTCATATTTGTAAAGATTTTCAAATCTCAGATTTGTCCTTTCAACCATTTTTTTTTTCAAAAGTATTTTAAAGATTTTAAGGTAAAATAAAGAGCTTAATGTTTGTTTTTTGGGTACTTTCTTTAAGAATATTTTCTCCCTTCTTTAACCTCCTAGCCTCCCCTTATTTGCCTCAACTTAGCTCTGATCTTCTAGAACCTGTTTAAGGCTGAGCTCGAGGTTGAAGTAGTATTCGTAGCTATTCCCCTTCTGGACCTTTCTCTAAATCTCATTTTATTTACGCATTGCATTTCAGCTCTGAACCGTGTGCAGCTGCTGGGGCGAGTGGGTCAGGACCCTGTCATGAGACAGGTGGAAGGGAAAAATCCAGTCACAATATTTTCTCTAGCAACAAATGAGATGTGGCGGTCCGGGGAGAGTGAAGCGTACCAGATGGGTGAGTATGAAAGCCTAGGGTTTTTGTTGTATCAGAAATACAGAGACATTTTTATTCTCAGTTAGTTGACTAGAGATGAGCTACTTTTAGAAAGAATCTTTCTTCTCTAGATCTGTTCCTGTCTCTCAGAAATTGTGACGTTGGTTTTGCTGGGTATGTTGTCTTTTGGCGTTTGCTTTGTGTGCTGGCATTTGTAACCATGTTTCCTATTCTTGCGATGTAGGTGATGTCAGTCAAAAGACAACATGGCACAGAATATCCGTATTCCGCCCAGGCCTCAGAGATGTGGCATACCAGTATGTGAAAAAGGGGTAAGTTGAGGAAGAAAGGATTTTATAGATTGAGTGGTTTAAAAAACTGGTCAGAAGTGTTCCCTGGGAATGCCTGTCTCCTTTATCCTACTAATTACTCCGTTAACTCGAGATACTTATTCACAGCTTAGTACTATATGCATGGGGTGTTGCCATGTATGACTAATGCAGAGATCTGTAAAACATGGTTTAGCTTTCTAAGAATTTACAGTTTGGGACAGATAAGGAGTGTACATAAATAGAAGCAGATGAGGCAAGAGAGAAGGCAGAGTGTACTGAGTGCCTCAGTAACACATGCAAGTGTAACACATGCTTTTAGGAATTCCCATGTCGCCTCTTGGCATGTACATGGGGCCCTTAGCACAGGACCTGGAGTCTGAAGTCTGACTCAGTGAGGTATGGCAGTGTTCACAGCACTTCTGCTATGTTTGATAATTTTATGTCGGCTTAATAGTTCCCTTTTGGGATGCTTGGATTAATTATAAATAAAAATTGTCTTTTCCAAACCTACAGAAGGACGAAAGGGTGTGTTGAACAACAATTATATTCATAGTTAATATATTTAGAAATGTACTTGTTTTATAAAAATGACGTATATTTCCTGAAAAACAATTTCAGGAAAAACTAAAATTTGTTTCTTTTTAATAACTGCATGCCTTTTTTTTATATGTATTTCCATTGTCCAATATGTATGTATGTTTGTATGAATTTGCATTAACGCACACATAAATACAGGAAATTTCAAGAAAAGTATCTGTATGCAATTTCAACCATGAATTGATGAATTTGTGTGTATTCCCTTTGGCCTACAATCATTTCATTAGCTTTGTCCACTTTCTGTTTTTTTGGTGATGGTAGACTCTGAAAATGATGCCAGCGTGCATTTTCTACCCTTTAAAATCAGCTATGGTTGTCTTGTAGTTCGGCCTTCTAAACAGTGCAGAAATAGTCTTAATAATTAACGCTAAGTGAAATACTGAGCCGAATACCTGTTTTGAATTTTAATAATCTAAGTCCCTTGAGAATAAGTTCATGAACCTGACTATGGGAAGGAATTGGACAATAAGTGAAAATCAGCAAGTCTTTTAGGGAGTCCAGAATCAAAGTTGGGGGAAATGTTGGAAATCAGTCCTAGGGATTGAAAGGATCCCACGACATTGCTCTTCCAATTCGTGGTCTTAAAGTCACTTTTTTTTTTTTTTTTAATTTATGAGGACTGCTGGCAGCTCAAGCCTGAGAGCTGTATGTGTCAAGTCTGTGTGGACGTTCTGTTTCAGTACCCTTAGTACTCCTAATGTTGAACTTTGAGATGTGGTAGCAAAAATGAGATTATGCCCGATTCTCTGTTTCATCCTTCGTGTGTGCTTGTTACTGCCTCTCACCGGACTCTGTCTCCTAAAACAGATGACAATCTCCAGGCTGAAAACTGTAAATTTTATTTTTATCAGGTCCCGAATCTATGTAGAAGGGAAAGTAGACTATGGTGAATACACAGATAAAAATAACGTGAGGCGGCAAGCAACAACGATCATAGCCGGTAAGAAGCTTGTGATAATAGCTATTCCCTGCTCCCCCTTCCCTTTTTTAAAAGCTTGGCTTGTCAGTAACTTGAATGGAGGCTTTGAGTACTGATGCTGTGATTGTCAAGCAGCTCGCCGTGAGCGCTGGGAGTGTGGTTTGTGGGTTTGCTCTGAGTGTCTGTGTTCTGGTCGTGCAGAACGTTGTCTCTGTACTCAGTTTCATTTCACAGGTAACTTTTGAGTAGAGTGTCTGTGTCAGTACTTAGCTGTTTGAAGTGAGAAGAACTTTAACGTCTTTAAGGACCTGGCCTAAACAGGCAGAAGCCTGTGCCAAGATAGAGTTACTCTGCTGTGAGTGGCATTAGACATTTGTGCAGGTTTAGTCACCGCCCGCTTGGTCCTTACAGGATGATTTTAAGTTCCTGTTCTCGTTAGACAAAATGGGAAACACTGTAGAAAACATAGACACACAAAGTTTAAGGAAGGTCAGGAAGATACCTCCAGGAGATAGCTCCCAGAGGTGAGTTTTCAAACTTCTGTGAAAATTCTACAAGAATTTTGAAACAAATGTAGCCCTTTGGACATATTTAAGTTGACATGAAAATTTTTTTCAATAGGGGATTGTTACTCTGAAATGTATTAATGGATGTAAATACCATAGCAATTTGATACCCATCATCCTTGAAAAAAATACATGAACAAGCTCTTCAACATTTGGAAGTTTTATGTTGTTTCTTTTTCTTGTTTTTCCATTTTCTCCTAAGAAATGTAACTTAATACATATTGTATAAATAAGAATATTTTATTATTCATCCTATTATATTTATAACACAAATACATACATAAATTAAAAGTTATTTTTATTTAAATTTTATTTGAAATTTTATTTTGAATAAAATTTTATTTAAAAATAAAATTATTTTTAAATTTAAAAATATTTTTAAAAATTCTGTGATATTAAGGCTATAAATGTTACATTTTCTTTTCATTATTATTATAGTTGTTTTTAAAACATAAAATACCAAAGCAATTTTAATATATAAATTTGAAAACTGAAATTGTATTGGAAATGCATCTTTTATGAGAGAAGTGCTCCTTCTTAAACTCTTCAATAAATTGTTAAAATAAGACAACTGTTGGGACACCTTCGGCTCAGGTCATGATCCCAGGGTCCTGGGATCAAGTCCTGCATTGGGCTCCTTGCTCAGCAGGGAGCCTGCTTCTCCCCCTGCCTCTGCCTGCCACTCTGTCTGCCTATGCTCACTCTCTCTGACAAATAAATAAATAACATCTTAAAAAAAAAAATAAGACAACTGTTAAAAATTTTATTTGAGAGAGAGAGAGAGAGAGAGAGAGAGAGAGCACGCATGAGCAAGCAAGGGAACACAAGCAGGGCAAGTGGGAAAGGGAGAAGCAGCCTTCCTGCTGAACAGGGAGCCCGATGTTGGGCCTTGATCCCAGGACCCTAGGATCACGACCTGAGCTGAAGGCAGATGCTTAACGCGTTGAGCCACCGAGGTGCCTCAAAATAAAATAGTGGTTAAACATTGATTCTATTATTAGTTTTTATGGATGTAAACACTGAGAAACCTTTTGTATGAGTAAGTACATAGAAATGAAAGAAAGTAATGTCTCAAGTGTTTATGTACTTCTGAGATATGCCAAAATTAGGTATCTTTTAAAAATTAATTTTTTTAATTATTGAAAATGTCAAACATTCACAAACATAGAAAAGTGGAAAAAAATCTTCTGTCATTTAGCTTCAACAATTATCAGCTGATGGCCAATATTATTTCTTCTGTTTCCCCAGCCTACTTTTCCTCCATTTGGATTATTTTCTAGTGAATTCCCAGACATTATATTATTTCATTCATAAATATTTTCAGTAGGTATTTCTGAAAGATAAGGATTCCTATTTAAAGTGTAACTACAGTGCTATTACCACACTTAATATTAGGAGATTATTAATTGTTTTTTCACCAGACATCACAATGTTTAAATTTCTTTGATTGCTTCATAAATACAAGTCCATAGGTTATCTTACATGGTTAATATGTATCTTAAGTCTCTTAACCTTTTTTTTTTAAGTTTTTATTTATTTATTTGACGGAGAGCTCACAAGTAGGCAGAGAGGCAGGCAGAGAGAGGGAGAAGCAGACTCCCTGCTGAGCAGAGAGCCCAGTGTGGGGTTCGATCCCAGGACCCCAGGATCATGACCTGAGCTGAAGACAGAGGCTTAACCCACTGAGCCACCCAGGTGCCCCTAAGTCTCTTATTCTTTTTTTTTTTTTTTTTAAAGATTCCATTTATTTATTTGACAGACAGAGACCACAAGTAGGCAGAGAGGCAGGCAGAGAGAGACAGAGGAGGAAGCAGGTTCCCCGCTGAGCAGAGAGCCTGATGTGGGGCTCGATCCCAGGACCTGGGACCATGACCTGAGCCGAAGGCAGAGGCTTAACCCACTGAGCCACCCAGGTGCCCCCCAAGTCTCTTATTCTTATGAGAAAATTATTTCCTCACAATTCTGGAGGCCAGACCTCTGAGAACTTAAGTCTCTTAATTGACAGATTTTCCTTTTACCTTTCTTTTTTACCTTGCTCCAGAGTTCGTGTCTTAACCACTCTACCCTATTGATAAACTATAATTTGTTATAAATAATAAAAAATATATTTCTTGTGGTTTCTCTGAGGTATATTGATCTTGAAAACCAACATAGTTATCTTTCTACCCTCATTATCAGATCTTAGATGAGGTCCTATCTGACCATTTTGATTTCATAATTCTTGGGTGTCTTGACAGTATTTCATTTCTGCATGCTCTTCTTCCTTGGGCCATGTCTCCAGAGATCTCTGCCTATTCAAAATTTTTTTTGTAGACCTCTGTGGGGGATAGGACTACACCTATGAGTTCAGCAGTGGAAAGTCAAACTTTCTAATTAAAAAGTTGGCATTTCTGGGGTGCCTGGGTGGCTCAGTGGGTTAAAGCCTCTGCCTTCGGCTCAGGTCATGGTCCCGGGATTGGTCCTGGGATCAGGCCCTGCATTGGGCTCTCTGCTCAGCAGGGAGCCTCCTTCTTCCTCTCTGCCTGCTTCTCTGCCTCCTTGTGATCTCTGTCTGTCGAATAAACAAATAAAATCTTTAAAAAAAAAAAAGGTGGCATTTCTAAATCTATCAATTAGGTATTTCTGAAGCATTTAACACTTTCATATTCCACTGTAAACCAAAAGTATGGGCAAACTTTGGATTGTATGAATTGTTCTGAACCAAGCCAACACTAAATAGTAGTAGTTCAGTTTATCTGTCATTTTGTTTTCTTCTTGTCACTAGTATTCACAGCATGGGTGAGTTAATTGAGTAATTAACAGATTTATGGTCAGTCGTAAAAATGAAGAGATCTTTAGTGACATTTGAATTGAAAGATAGATTTTATTGTTTTTTTCTTCAATCAACCAACATATAGTACATCATTAGTTTTTGATGTAGTGTTCAATGATTCATTAGTTACATGTAACACCCAGTGCTCAGAAATAGAGTTTAAATTCGGTTGCTTGGTCATTTTTTTCCTCCTAGGGATCCATGTCTTTAATGTAAAAGTAACCACCAGTGGATGGCACTCTTGCCAATACTATGTTTTTAGAAGACTGTATTTGTAAATACTGTAATAACCACTTTTAAAAATAATTCTAAAGTTACAAGAATCTGGATTTTTTTCAAGTTATACAGAAAGTACTTCTTTTCCTTTGCTTCTCCTAAATTAACTCCATCTGGGACAACATTTTAAGTGCAGTGTCTGATCTTGTTTGAAAATGCTTTCTCTATAATATTGATTAGTAAAAAATTTCCCAAGAATGAGTATAAAAAGTCAATCTATTTTAAAATTTAAAAATAGAGTGTCCTCTCTGTGAGTGTTACAGCCTACTTAAAGACATCGGTCGGTTTGTCTTTGCTGACTGGGCCATATGTTGGACCCCATCCTTTCTCCGTACCTCCAGTGCGGGGAGTTTTAGGCCTGGTCCCTCTTCTGTGCGAGGACGTGCTGCCTGCTTTCATGGCATCTGTCTGAGCACCGCAGGCACTGAAATTTGTGACTCGTTCTTTTGTAGGAAGTTACTGCTGAGCAGTTGTAATTGTTTTCAGGGAAGACAAGAAATACCACACTTTTTCTGCAAGGTCTCAGTTGTCACGTCGCTGAAGCCCAACTTTTAGCTCCTTTGGTGCCTCTTGTATATATGCCTCTCATGAACATAGCAGGACTTAGTTCACATTTTGGGAATTTTTCTAAAATCCTGTTAGATAACAGCACTAAAGTATGTGTCATAGGGGAACGATTAAATGAGAAAGAGTTCTGGAAATAATACTTATGATTTGGTTTCTTTACAGATAACATTATATTTCTGAGTGACCAGACCAAAGAGAAGGCATAGAGTGGACGAGTCTCCTTTGGCCGTTGTTGGTACAGTCTCATTTCCACATCATGTAGTCTTTATAGGTCCTAAGGACAAGAATTAAAATATTATTTTATATAAAATGAATGATAAGACTTCTCATGACTCTTACTCCCCCTCCCCTTTTTGTCTCATAGGCCTTTGTAGCTAATTGTTTATTCTTTTAAGGATGGTTTCGGTGTATAAGTGTACAAAGCAGTGAGCTGTCAGGTTCATCTGTGTTAGAGCAAAGGGCTAAGTGTCCTTTGGGATGCCCCTTTGTTTTTTGCGTACACTTTTATAGTGTTGATTCAGCCACTGAGTATTTGTTGAGCTTCACTGTGTGGCAGGCATTTATCCCATGGTTGTGAACAACGATTTTCTTACTGTTTGCTCTATAAACTAGGTGGCAGGGACTGTATCTTTTCTGTTTACTTGCCCCTTAACCAGGACTTGGCACAGAATACTCGATAAATGGTGACAGATGAATGATCCCAGTGGGATATTAAGCTTTAGCCCAAACTGGAAGGGGTTGCTGAACAGTGGTTGGTATCTAACCTAGATAGCTTCAAGACTAACCTACCTTTTTCTCCTCTTTTGTTTTTGGACAAATTTCACTAGTAGCATTCATGAAATAGATTTTATCAGCAGTAAAAACCTAAAATAATAGGGAGGGGTGAAATAGTTCATCTCCAGGTGATGCCTCAGGGGCTCTGGTTCCACTATTTTCTATCTTTCTAAGCCCCATTGCTATCCTTTAGTCTCATCCAGAACTTGGGGGGGTCCCCAAACAACCTTTCACATTGCTTCCCTAGGTTAGAGCCCCAGGAATAACATTTTCCTTTTATTTTTCCACATGGGCCCGTGGTGTACATACACATCATGTACACACAGTTGCTTTCATGATAAGATTCTGGAAATTACAGAGTAAGAGTGATTTTCTAATAAATACTACATAAAATGAACTTGAGTTTTTCAGCGTGTCTTGTACTGTTCAGGTCTACACCAGATCTGCGTGGGTCTGCCTGCTGGTTGGCCGCAGTTAAGACTCCGCTGCCGCTGAGCCTGGTGTCCGGGTCCGATGACAGAAGTCCCTTGCTCTGTCTAGGCCACCTGGCCTCCGGCTTTGCCTCCTGTCCAGCCTGTGTACGTGTGTCTCAGACGGTGTGTCTTGTCTGCTCCGCCTAAGTTCTGGACTGTCTGGGGTTTCCTAGTTCACATGCTGCTCTACGGGCCCGCACTGAGCAGTGTTTTGTACTTACAGCGCAGTTGGGTCAAGGAAAGGTGGAGTTCCTTAGCTTTACCTTGTTCCTACCCAGGAACAGTAGAACAGTGGTTGCAATTCCCTCCTCTCGGTTGTCCTTTTTTTCCTGCCGCTGGGACCATTAATCATTACATTAACTCTGCTCCCTGACGTTCTCCGTTCAAACTGGTGACATGGTCCTCACTCTTTTGTGCCACATTTCTCAAGCAAAATGTAACATAGATAAAATTGATCTTTGGGCCACTCTTTCTTGGAAAATCTACTTTTCTACTCCTTAAAGGTTGTGAGAAGTGATGCAGATTAGTATTCCTGTTAAGTAGTGTGCTTTGGGCAGGTAATATGGTGAACAAGACAGTTTAATGACCAGCCCAAAGCAACTCTGCGTCTAAGGTGCAGGGGCAGAAAGGTGCGGCCTGCAGGACCCCCGTGAGCCGCAGGCTTCTGCTCACTCCGCTGGAGCTTACCTGACGGGCTCTGAGGTTGGGCAGCGGGGCTTTCAGAGTTGTCTACTCAGTGCGGAGCCTCCGCATGCGCGTGGTGCTGCGGACCTGAGGAGCACAGCTGTGCTCTTCCCATCTGGGCAGCCCCCTGTGCTGAGAAACTGCACCCCTCCCAAGCTGGTCTTGGAGGATGTGTGGGAGGCTGGTGGTAGGAAGAGTTGGTGGGGGTCTCCTAGGCCACGTTTTGTGCCTCGCATTCCCTTTTCACGTTGTTATGGTTTTAGGGAATATACCCGTGGGAAACTGTCCTTCGACTTTGATGCTGGGATTCTATGTTGGGTGGAAAGTTGAGTATGATACGTAGAAGCGTGGGAGAAGAAGTATCAAACAGCATGTGGTGTTACCCCACTTTTGAAAAAGAAGTAATTGATAAAAGTATATGTTTAGAAATGTCTGGGAGGAGAAACCTCAAACGGTTGTGATGATCTCTCGGTGGGGGGATTATGTGTGGTTTTCCTTTTTTTTTTTTTTTGCACTTTTATATATTTTATTTCTTTTAAAGCATTGAACATACATTATTTTTATATTAAGAGAAAACAAAAGTTTTCACTTGGGGGGAAAAATCTTTCCATTATTTCCAGGCCAGGCTTGCACTTCTGATCGACCTTCAGCCAGTACTGCCACTGGTCCTGGAGGTGAGCAGGAGAGCAGGAGAGCAGGAGAGCAGGAGAGCAGGAGAGCAGGAGAGCCTCTCGTGTGTCGACGCCCATCTTCTGCATCTTAGTATTACATGCTTAGATACTTCATTCACCTTTTTCCTCCTTTTTCTTTTGTGTTTCTCTTAATGCACATATGTAACCCAGAATAATGGGCTTTAAAGACCAGTCCGTATGATATCCACCGTTTGATGCCAACACAATTCTCAAAGAGTCCTTCAGTTCTTAAAAATTACTGGACAACGAATCCAGAGACATCCCAAGACACCAAAGATGTGTTTTTGTGGCTGTTTTGGGGATTACTTGTCATTGTCAACTGGGTTACAGCCTAACCTCTGCAATTCAGGAGAAATTACTGGTGGTTTCTCTGTATTCCCGGAAGAGACCAGGCAGTTTTTGAAGGCACGGTTGTCTTTTACTCACAACCACCCGTTCATCCCCGTCCCGCTCAGCCTCACACAGTGCCGTTGCAGGGCTTTCTACACGTCAGCTCGTTGGATTGCACTGAAACACTGGCATGAAAGTGAGGGCAGTCACTTACTTTTTTGTCAGGGTTTGGATTATATGCTACGAAGCTTGGTGGGAGCAGCAGTGAGCAAATCATTGTAGAAAAGTTAGTGAGTTATAGAGACATCTCTTGCAAGGTGTAATTACCATATTAATGCCTGACATTTATTCTGTACTCAACAGATGCCAGCCTGAGCTCAGGGCTTCTTATCGTTGTCTCATTTAACTTATCCCTGAGAAGGTGGTATTATCCTGATTTTACACGTGAGGAAACGTGAAACTGAGAGGTTAAGTAACATGTCAGAGTCACGCAGCTTATCAGGCACGCTGGGAGTGGGAGTTTAGGTATGTGAAGCTCGCGTTTTGCTTTCTGCCTACTGTCTGCTTCCCCTTGTCTCCCTCTTTCATTGGCCGTGCTGTTCAGAACCCCACAGATAGCTTTTGACCATTCGGGGTGCATCGAAGTCATACCGGGAGTTGCAGTACATAAACGGTTTTGGTTGGGATAGAATTGGGAATGAGGGAGGAATACCTCCAGCTCTTCATTCTTTCTCAATTTTCAGTCTGATGATCCTGCAGGAAAGTTGCAGTTAATCTCTTTGCTAAGTTATCTTCACATATTCTTCTTGCTTCCTTGTTATCCAGCAGTTTTCTTTACTGGTTAAAATAGGTTCACGGTGTCTGCTCCTCCCGTTGTTTCCTTCCTGCTGAGGGTTGAAATTGTCAGCAAGATTGCTCAGGAATTTGACAGGCTCACTTCTTAGAGAACGAGACTTTCGGCAGGTGTCAGCAGCACTGCAGTCCTTTCTCATGACTAAATTTGCTTTTGTGCTGTCCCACAGCCTGCGCTGGGATGGCGTGTAGCTGTTTAGGCTGTCCAAATCATGCAGCCACAATAATGACATTTCTCCTTTTGTCTCTTTATTCTTCATCCATATGCTCTCTGCCATGCTTTGGGACCTTGGGGTGTTGTTTGTCTGTACAGGTGGACACTGTAATTTTGTAGCTTTCTTGCTTCACCTGCTGTTTGGATAAAAGGTGGCTTCTCGTGGTAGTTCAGTTAAGGCTGTGTAGTCAGACAGCCTGGATCTGCTGCACTTACCAGCTGAGGGGCCTCTGCTCAGTTTCTTAACTTTTCCCTGTGTTGGATTTTTTTGTCGTTTTGTTTTTCTGTGAATAAAACAGGGAAAATAGTGTCCCTACTTCATAGGCCTGCTGTGAGCAACGAATAATGCATATAACTTTCATAGTGCATATTAACTGAATCAAGTGCTGGGTACTACTGGCCATTATTATTCTAGCTGTAGTTATTTTAAACAAGGTGTTATCTCTTTTGATCCCCATGCCCATCTCCCCAAGTCTCGTAGGATATTACTAACTTTAGGTTATCGTACTTGGCCTTTGTTGTTGTTGTTGTTAATGTCCGTGGGTTACTAAGAACATAGTTTGCATTAATGTTTTTTGGTTTGCTTTTAATCTTCCATGGCTATTTACAGATAATCTGGGTATGTTTTTAAATTCAATTTCAGTTGGGCACCTACTTTGTTCCAAGCATGTGTATAGGCCTAGATACAGGGATAAATAAAACAGGGCTAGAAGGGAGAAAGCCTGCCGGCAATTAGGAAGCCACTGAAGGAGCCTAGAAATGTCGGCAGAGTGGGGACTATAGGTGACACGAGGGGAATGTGGTCTTCACAGTCATTCACTGTGCAACTGTTACGCGCTAGATCCCGTTATGGACTCTGGGTAAGGAATACTGAGTAGGAGAAGAACACGTAGCTCTGCCCAGGATGTGCTAGGGACCGAGTAGGTGCTGGCGGTAAGAGAAAAGGCCGTGAAGAGAGAATTCTGAAGCTGCTTGGGCAGGTGTGTGGATATTTTGTTTCTGAGACTAAGGAACGTGAATGTGGGAGCCAATTTGAGAAGATGAAAGATCAGGAGTAGTTTTGAACATAGTTTAATCATAAAGTCCTCAGCTTATATTTAATATCAATGAGTGGAGCTCAGAAGAGCAGTCAAGACAAGAGTGACTATTTTTTTCTTCTGCCAAACACTTTTGAAGCACATTTTGTGAGACAACATAACAAATGTTGCCAGGATTACGGCTTTCTGTTGTGGAAAACCATATTATGGGAAAGATTTCCAGTTGCTTACCAGTTTTACAGTGTACTAGGGACTTGTGTTAATCTGGTGTGGCAAGATGATGGACATGAAGACAGTTGTCTTGAAAGAAGAGTTTGTTATAGTTCTCAAGAGGAGGTCTCATGCCACACCATTTGAACCACATGGGGATGCACCAGTGTAGGCCAGAAGGCAGGAGGAATGAGGGGAAAGTGTGCACCAGACCTTTTATTGTGGTTTTTGTGGGATAGAATAATTTTCACCAGGCTTTGGGAAATAGGGGTGGTCCCTTGTTGTCAGGTACTTGGTGATTTTGGGCAGAGGAATAGTGTTCTGGACTGCAGGATAAAAGGAGGCTAACGGTGGGTATGAAATTGGGATTGGTTGGTTTGTGTATTAAAGATTTGCTCATGGGCAAGTGTTTACTATTTCTAGGAATTAGCTAATGTTGGGAGGGGTTAGTTACACCCAGGGTCTGGGAAGCTCAAAGATGTCAAACATCAAAATACGGAAAATAAGAAACATGATTAATTCACTACCCAGTAGCCATTATCCTTTCTATTGAACCCATTAATTTACAGAGCCCACATTTTATTGGAGGTGACAGTGTGCACAGCTGAAGTACTGCATTCTATTCTCCTTTGCAGTTAACAGTTGCTAAGGGGCTGTAAGCAGAAGTCATTTGGTGGTGCTTCCAGGAAAGCTTCTTAAATGATTAACTCTGTTGGGAGGCTTATCCTTTGTGCTTCTCCGGATCCTCACCTGGCTTTTTCTGGTCTGAAATGTGGACATGATGGCCGAATCTCCAGCAGCCATCTTGGACTATGAGACGATCTTCAGGATGGAAGACAGAAGAAGCTGGGATCTGCGATGACCATGGAACCACCATACCAGTCCTGGACGGTCTATCTCGGGACTTCTTTGGGAGACACAAATAAATCTCTGCCTTGTTTAAGCCACTTCTTTGTGCTTTGCAGTTAAACCTCATTCTTACTAATTCACACATTCTTTATCTTCATGTTCACAATGAATTCATTATCTAATTCTCTCCTAAGACCTTCCCCTGCTAGCAGAAGTAAAAACCTCTACTGCCACCGTCCTTCAGACTTTATCCTATGTCTCATTCTAAATTTGGAGAGGGACTGGGAATACTATGTACACAAAACCTTAGCAATTATTCTTTAAAAGAGTAAATATAAGCATAATTTTTCAGCAAGTAAGTATTACCTAATTTGGCTTGAAGCCTCTAACGAGGATCCTTAACAGTCCCTTATTAAATAAAGTAGTGCTTAAGTTAAGAACACAAGTACCACCCTTATGCTTCTCCTGGCAGTATAGCAGACAACGTAATCCGGAGTGAGGAGGTGTCCCACCAGATGCTAACTATGATGTAGTTTCTGTCGTATCCTTGGGAATCTTCATTTGGGCTTAACAAAGTACCAGAGACTGGGTGATTTAAACAGCAGATGTTTTGTTGCAATCCAAGATCATTAGGGTGCCAGCATGGTTGGTTTCTTGTAAGGCTTGTGAGGCCTGTGTTCCTGGCTTGTAAGTGGCCACCATCTCGCTGTGTGCTCATGTGATGACCTATTTTTGCTGGCAGAGAGTGAGTGAGCTCTCTGGTGTCTCTCTTAAAAACACTAATCCTGTTGTGTCAGGGCCCCACCCTAATGACCTCATTTCACTTTATCGTCTTAAAGGTCCTATCTCAAAATGTGGTCACATTGGGGAATAGGGTTTCTATATGTGCATTTTGAGTGGACACAGTTCGGTCTGTAGCATCAGCCTTATAAGACAAAAGGGAATTCCTCAAGTGACAAGTTCTAAACTAAGCTGAAACTAGAGCAGTAAGTGGGCAACGCACTAAAGAAAGGGCATTCCCTGATGACATATTAATCTTGACTGTGGTTTGGATATAACAAAGGGTATGTGTCAAAGGTGTGGCTCAAGCAGCCTTGGAATTAGAAGAGCATTTCTCTTAAAATGAGCAGGCAGTGATGTCTTATCACTACCTCTCTTTGACACTTACTCGTGCTGAGGTTTTAGCAAGCATAGTTGGGAAGGAAAAAAAAAGTATTAAGATGGAAATGAAGAAAGTTACACATGCTGTGATTATATAGAAACCAGAAAAGAATCTGTAGATGAATAATTAGAAGTTGCTGGAGATAAGATCAGTATATAAAAGTCAATTGCAAACAACAGCAAAGATGCCCTTATACAAGAGGATCAGAAAATGAAAGGAGTCTTCCAAGTGTGTGGTCTCTATGGAGAACATAAAACCTTATTGAAATACATTCAAAGACTAAATGTATCGGTAAACCATGTTTATTGTAAGCATCAATAATGTAAAGATACCAACTGTCCCCAAATTGATGTTACAGATCAAATAAAAATTCCCAGAAGTTTTGGGCAACTGGACAAGTTGATTCTAAAAATGCATTGATAATCAAAGGTCCAAGATCAGACAACATACTCCTGAAGAGGAAGAATGAGATAGGGGACTTGCTTTGTCCGTTGGCAAGACTTTTCTTTCGATTAAAGTTGTGCTGATAAAAGAACTGTACTGTGGATGCAGGAATAAACAGAACAGTGGTATAGAATAGAGAACCCAGAAGCAGACCATGTATAGGTGGACATGATAAATGATAAAAGTGGCATAGATCAGTGGGTAAAATAGAGATTTTTATTCAATAAAGTGTGCTAGGGAGATTTGTTATTCATATAGGAAAAAAAATGAAATCAGATCTCTACCTTACACCTTAAGCAAAGATCAATTCTTGGTTATTTAAAGACTTGTGAAAGCAAAACATTAAAAATTTTGGAAGAAATTATGAGACAGTGTCTTTATGCTCTGGTGGCGTGGAAGTCTCTTTTTAAAACAAATGTAGGGGTGCCTGGGCGGCTCAGTGGGTTAAAGTCTCTGCCTTCAGCTCAGGTCATGATCCTAGGGTCCTGTGATCGAGCCGCATTGGGCTGTCTGCTCAGTGGGGAGCCTGCTTTCCCCCTCTCTCTGCCTGCCTCTGCCTACTTGTCATCTCTGTCAAATAAAATGTAAAAAAGAGGGATACATTTAACTATTAAAAGTAACCCTTTTAAAATCAGAAGTCACCATAAAAAAGCAAAATGACAAGTCACAAGCTGGGAGAGAAGATATTTGCAATAGTATAACTGAAATACAGGCTAGAGTAAATAAAGGATTACAAAGCAATAAAAATACAATCTAGAATATATGAAGGCCTACAAAGCAAAGAGGAAATAACAAGCTTAGTAGAAAAATGGGGAAAGACATAGACACTGAAATATAAATGATCTGTGGAAAAGTAGTTGACTTCATTAATAATCAAGGAAATGCAAACCAAAAACTGCAATGAGATTTCATTTTAAGCCCTCCACACTAGCAAATTCCGACACATTTGATAGAATGAAGTGTGAAGGAGGATTCTTTACACCAGTGGAAATTACGCACAGGTGGGAGGGTGTAAACGGGCACCTCCTTTTGAGAAACATGTCAGCATGAACTGGTGTTGAAATTTCATCTAGTTATTCCATCTTGAAGGTACACCCTTATAGGAAGTTTTGCCCATGTGGCCCAAGAAACATGTACAAGAGTGTTCTTAGCAATAATGTACATAATAGCACAACCAACAACCCAAGGAAACTACCTAAAGGTTCATCAGCAGAGAATGGGTAAATAAATGTTCACACCATGGCATACAGCTGTGTAAATGTATTACAACCATTCCAGAAACAGTAATTTTTAGAAACATAATACTGAGTCAATATCAGTTAAAAAATGAATCTGAAACTTGGGTTAAAAACAAAAATCAAGCTTCCTTTAGAAAATTTTTTATTCAGGGTATCTGGGTAGCTCAGTCCACTAAATGTCTGACTCTTGATTTTGGCTCCGGTCTTGATCCCCGGGTTGTGAGATGGAGCCCCACCTGGCCTTGGGCTTCATGCTCAGCATGGAGTCTGCTTGAGATTCTCTCCCTCTCCCCCCGCTGTCCCCCCACCTCCATGCGTATACTCTCTCAAATAAATCTTTTTTAAAAAAAGACAACTTGTTTATTCAGTATATATTTATTGTGGTTCTGCTGTGTGCTAAAGACTGAGCCTAGGACCTGAGTGTTTAATGAGTAAAACATCCAAAAGGGGCATTATTAATTAGTTGGCATGACAGGCTGAGCAGGGAGCCTGATGTGGGGCTCGATTCCAGGACCCTGGGATCATGACCTGAGCCGAAGACAGATGCTTAACTGACTAAGCCACTCAGGTGCCCCGATCCTTCTTTTTGTAGGAAATTTGTATTGCAATGAGAAAAGTTGTCTGAAAATAACCCTCCTTCAAACTCAGTTGTCTGGAGAAAACACTAGCTGGGAAAAGAGGGCTTCTTTAACTTCCCCCACCAGGAAGTGCTTACATAAGTTCAGTTACCATAGAACTGTTGACTCTAATACCAGTGGGAACTATAACATCCTGTGGGTTCCAAGGTCCCCACGTATTGGTCATCTGGTCTTCTCAAACAACTCCTGTAATAGCTGGCTTCCCAAATTCGTGTTTTCTGGCACCTAAGACTCTTGTACTACTGATGAAGTTGCTTTCATGCTTTTATTAAAGGAAGTGAGAACAATAGGAAGGGTGAGGCTCTTCCATTGGCATACAGAACTGCACTGCTCGCCGAACAGTGCTCTGGTCCCCCGTGTGGAGAGTCATGCTTTTATTCCTGTTGTTGATACGAGTTTTCTCTTACTCCAATAAAGCCTGTTCTTAACTCAGACTATATGATATGGTAAAATTTATCTTGAATCCTGGTGCATGCAAGAGGACATGCAGAAGAGATTCTTAGTATATAGTATAAGGAGTTTACATTTTGTAGCTGCACTACAACGCTGTCGAAGTGTTTTAAGTAGTGGAGTTAAGTGATCATTCTTGTGATTGTATGGCAAATGTATTACAGAAAAGAAGATTAGAAGTAGAGAATGAGTTTGGGGGCTGTTGAGAAGTTCAGATGAGAGACCATGGTAACTTGGACCAGTATGAAGATAATGAAAATGGAAAGTTCAGGATATGTTTTGAGACAAAAATGGAGAAGTCATTGATAAGTTGATGTGGGATTATAGGAAAGACAGAATCAAGTTAATTCTTAGGTGGTGCTTGATTTGAGCACCTGCATAGATGATGTTGCCATTTGCTGAAATAAGGAAGATTGGGGGAAAGAGTTCTTTTAAAGTGAGATTAGGGGTGCTTGGGTGGTCAGTCATTAAACGTCTGCCTTCGGCTCAGACCATGATCCCAGGGTGCTGGGATCAAACCCCGCATCAGGCTCTCTGCTTGGCAGGGAGTCTGCTTCTCCCTCTTCCACTCCCCCTGCTTGTGTTCCCTCTCTCACTGTATCTTTCTCTGTCAAATAAATACAATCTTTTAAAAAAATAAAATGAGAATAAATGGAGAGTTTTGTTTTGAACATGTTAAATTTGAGATGTCCATGATAGAGCCAAGTAAAGAAGTTAGATAGGTAGGTGGATATGGGAGCTCTGAAAAGTAGTATGACATGAAAGTGTGCATTTTGGGCTTACCAACATAGGATGATTTAAAATAATGAAAATAATATGTATTAAAAACTTACTGGCGGGAGTTGCAGTATGAAAATGGTATTATAGGTTAAATGAGTTTCTTTTTCCTTTTGGAAATAACCCCAGAACCCCAAGGAGAATGCGAAACAGAGATGTGTGTTATATCTTTTTTGAAATGTAACAACTAAAACTTCAAAAATAGGTGGAAGGACTGTGCATTGTTCAGAGTCCAGTCAGGAAAGAGGAAGCCAGTACAGGTATATAAATCCCCTCAGATAGAGGGGATTTAATGGAGGGAATTATTTACAAAAATGTGGGAAGAGGGAAAGAGAGAAGGAAGGGTAGTGTCAGAGTCAGAAACTGATACCATCTCTGGGCTGGCACCGTTGAGCGTGCACCTGTTGCTGCATTGCTGGGGGTGTGGTTACAGTTGTTTCTGGTGTGCTGAAGGGGCTTTGCCTTGGCCAGGCTGGCTAACACTGTATAGATGATTTTATCCTGGTTCATGGGGTCTACAGTCCTCATTCTTAACCTAGTCAAAGGAACTTCCACCAAGGGATACCCTGTTGGAGTGAGAGGCCGGATTTTTCTTTTTCCTTCCTGCTCGTCTGCCAGTTTTCATACTGACAGATTACCAACAGCAAAGCATCTGGAAAGGGTGTCTGGGAAATGATTTTTAGAATCCCAGACCCCACTGTATGGGGCAGAGTACAGGTGGGGGTTGTGGGTTTAAGGGGGAAAATAACTAGAATAGGCTATGGAAAGCAGTGGTGGTCAAATTGAGGTT